CTACTCCGATCGAGTCGGTATATAAAGAATACCTAGACCCTTTCTCTAAAGAACTCTAGTTCGAGCGACGGCGGCTCCGAGGTTAGCGTATATAATAGACTTTAATTAACAAGCGTCTTCTTCGTACTAACGAGATACCCGAATAAGCGGCAATCTAGTAGTACGTAGAATACGAGGACTATAATAAGAAAGTCGATATACTAATCGCCGCTAATCCTATAGAGCGTAATAAGGCTAAAGATATACGCTTTATCTAGGCCGCGAAACTCGTACGTAACGTATACGCCGAGGACGTAGACGGTCGACTACCTAACCTCTTTCGCCTACGCCTATATAAGCGACTCGTTAAACACTATCTAGTAAGGCTTTAGCATTACCTATACTATCTATACCTTACCGCGGGCGATCGGCGCTTCTAGATTCTATACGAATTGTATTAGTATATAGGTAAGCTAGTTACCGATTTTAAAAACCTACTCTTTACGTAACTGTACTCCTTCTAAATCGTAAACAACGATTACGCCTATAAATACTCTATCTTTAGGACCGACCTTTACTCGGACAGTTACGATACGTAGTAGGAGATTTACGCGATACGCTTTAGCGAGTACATAGCGCTTATAACTATAGGCGAATTAAAGGAGCTTCCTAACCTAGCTAACCTCGATATAAATTTTCTGCTAACTATTACTTTCTACTACGCGAAGTTATAGTACCGACTCCTAGCAAATATTATCCGCTTACGCGAGAACTTCCTTAGCTTAAGCACCTATACCGGCGACCTACGATTCTAGCTAGTACTATCTCTAATCCGCAATAGAGCCGTCGGTCTTATAGTACGCGCTATCTTATACTTCCTATAGACAGTCGACCTTGTATAAGAGTAGTTCTACCGCTTCGTCCTAAAAGAACATCGCGATAGTATTATAGTAGGCGGTTACCTAGTCCTATATAAGCGTAGCGAGAACGGTAAGGACGTATCCTACCGTAACTATAGTAAGGAATACTAGAAGACGGGCAAGCGACCTATTAGCGAATACGTCGGAGCGACGAAGTATTATAAGATCGACCTAACTACCTACGGCGAAGTCTAATTCTTATAGATAGTAGCTACCGGACGACTCTCGATAGTGCGCCTACCTCTACTAGACTCCTAGCTTAAGGACTATATAGTTTAGCTACTACTAATCGGTATAGAACTTAGTACCTAGTCGGCTATATAGCTCTATAAGTAGTATAAGTCGTCCCTTAATTCTAGTAGTCTACTCTATCTATACCGTCGCAACCTAGGTCGCCTAGCTATTACCTAGGACGTCGTCGCTTATACCTAGCGGTATGTTACAGTCCGTAACGCCTATACGCTTCGCGGTAAGGGCTATATATCCGCCCTCTATACTAATAAGGCGCTTACGGACACGAAGGCTACTAATACGTCGCGTACGGAATAGTACGCTTAGCTTACAGATAGCGGTCGCTACTAGAACGGTACCTATACCGCTAATAAGGGTAAAGGCATACCTCTACTACTCCTTAACCGTTAATACCTAGTAGACTTTAGCCTAGTCTACTAGCTAACTTAGATCGATCCGGTATACGCCTTATCTACCTTTATCGCCTATATCTAGACGCTTAAGGACGGCGCTATCCCTAATAGATTAGAGCCCGCGCTAACGCTATAGTTCTATAATTTACCGAAGACAGTCTCTACCGATCTAGTCTTCGATCCTTTAGGCGTTTAGGAGCGTATTATATAGGGCAATACTGTTTTTAAGTACGATAAGATAGTAACGAATAAGAATTACTAGTAGTATAATATCGACTATGCTTAGGATCCTATAGGCGCATTCCTAGTGCCGTTACCCGACTACTCGCTAGACGAGACCGACCTTACTAACGCGTACCTCTTTAGCAAAATCTTCCTTTCTAAGCTTACGACTCGGACTAAGCCGCAACCTCCGGCCGTTGCCCCGCTAACTAAGGCGATCTAGCTAAACTCCTTACGCGTATTACTATCGACTAAGTTAAATACTCGCTAGAAGCTAACCGCTAGCCTATTCTTAGTGCCTCGCCTATCGTCGAAGATACCGCTACCGTCTAACCTATTCTCTACGCCTACGAAGGCTCTAGCTGCGGCTTAGCTACTACTGCCTAATAACACGGTTGCGTAGCTATAGTATAAGCTCCTATCGCTTCCGATACGCTTACTACCTTTGCCCGCTCTATAGAAAAATACTATAGGCGCCTATAGATAATACTAATATAATACGACGGCAATTAGTATACGTACGCTTAACTTACAAGCTCTCTACTATATACGCTAGTCCGAGTTAGTAGCAACCGAGGTATACTAGCTTTAATAGATACTAGCTAAGGCATAGATCCGCGAAGCAACTAAGCGCTAGATAGCCTAGTAGTATCGTCTTTCCGCTACGGTCTTAAAGGAGTCGCTTACGCTATCGCTAACCTATCTTTACTACGATTTCTTACGCGTCGCGCTATAATAGGCAATCCCTATACTATACTTAATTAATAAGGACGCTTTTAAGCTACTCGGCGGCGTATAAGGCAATACTACTAAGGATAAGATCGCTAAGCTTAACGTATAGATAGCCGACTACTTTAAGCTATACGGTACTATACGCGACGCCGATACGCTACTATTACTAGGTACCGACTTCTCTAATATCCCTATCGATTAGTTAGACCGCGCTACTACTATAGCGGACGTAGTTAATACCTCGCTATCCGATAACAAGACTATAAAGACTATCGCGCCTTAGCCGTAGCTAAAGGCGGTTTAGACTATACCGACTAGCTTACGCGACGCCCTTCGTAACCGTCGCAACAAGTAAGTATAAAACCGACGCAGTTATTACTAGAGAGACACGATTCTATACCTAGTATTACCGTTCTAGTATACTGTTTAGGTTTAGCCTTTATACGACGCTATTACGCTCTTTTGCCTTAAACCTTCCTATAGTGCGGCCTACTAAGGACCTTTGTTTTAGGACACTATAGACAGTGCCGACCTTTTTTATAGAAGGGGAGGCTATTACGATATAACACTATTGTATATACGATAGCAGGCAGCGGTTACTATCGACCGCTACGGTCGCTATTGCTACTAATAGTAGGACTATTATATAGATAGCTTGCCTCGCGGCACCTTAGAGAATATATCAACTTTTGTACTGCATAACTGTTACGATACCTTCGTACTGTAACCGTATACCTAGCACTATTACTACTTACCGGCCTTAATAATAGCCTAGTAGTAGATTATACCGTTATACTAAGCAAACTCTAGTTTTCTATAGAATATTAGAAATTAAAACAGTCCTTACTAGTACGGTCCTTAGTCTAAGAGGCTTTAATCTTAAACTACGGCTCCTACTAGGCTATTAGTAAAGCGGCATCTAGGTAGAGCTAGGTAGACGTCTATATATAGGTTTAGAGAGTAGGACAAGTACGCTGTACCGTCTACCTACTAGCTATTTCTTTAGTATTATCGAATAAGCCTCTTCTATCCTCGAAGTATTAGGCTATCTATAGAATAGAAAGACGTACTAATAAAAGCAGTAGGCAGTCGTCTTCTTATAAGACTAGTATTAACGCTTAATATAGGTCTATAGGCTACGGAAGTAAGGGTTTAAGTTCTTATACTTAGATAGGAAGGTATTCTTCTTATCGAATTCGGCGACTATCTTAGCTTTAATATAGGCGTAAAAAGCGGCTATAAACGACTCGTAATTAGCTTAATCTTCGTTATATAGAAAGGTACCTATTTTACCGTTATAAAAGGCTTATTATAGTACTAATTTACTAGCCTATAGCTATATATTCTTAAAGGTATACTAGGCGTAGACAAGTAGAGGTATTAAAAAGCATATCTTGTCTAGTAGATTTATATAGCTATAGTCTTAATTAACAACCTATAGGCCTAGATCTAGTAGGATATTAACGTAGTAGTCTATAGAGCTTCTTAAAGGCTTTAAATGCCTATATAAAGCCGGTTTTATCTTCTTTGCTTATAGTAGCGTATTCTAATAGAACTATAGTACTACTACTAGTACTACTAGAGATATTAAAAAGAGGTCGGTTATAGTAGTTAGTCTTATATATACTACCGTAGACAAGGTATACTAGATATAGGGCGTAGAACTATACTATAAGTAGATAGATTATAAATTTATAAGTAATCTACTAACTATACCTTCGCTATCTAGGATCGTATCTAAGTCCTAGTCGTCGTAGTAGTAGTATCTACCTCTTTCTAGAAGCCGTAAAAGTATATTAGAAGCCGATATAATACCCTAGTAGACCCTTTAAGCTATCTTTTAGATATTATAAATATCTTATATCGTTTATATATCTATAGATAGTATATTATTAGAATTAGAATATAGTAAGAAGGGGAGGAACTAATAGTATAGAATCCGGCCGAAACTCGGCTAGTTAGTAACTTATAATCTTCCTTTTTCTATAGACGCGCTAACGTCGATATAGTACTTATATTCGCTATTAGATCTTCCTCCGATAGAATAAAAGTACCTTAGGTATTATATAGTTTAATATAGATTTGTAATATACGATAATATTAATAGCTGTAAGAACCTGTTTTGCAGCTCTAGGTCGAGGTAATGAGGTAATAAGCGAAGTGAGCAACGGAACCCGTTCGGCAGGGACGAGGGCCCTCACCGTGCGTCTCTCGATCAAGGCCGCGCTATATGCATGTGAGTCGCGTGGATAGACATGGGACGAGAGAGAATGAAAGACGGTGAGAGTATGGCATCGATATGTAGATCGAAGCCGCGATCTTGCGCATGCCTCATGAAAACATTTGGCGGTCTAGCCACCGTCGTAATGTACACTCGAACTCCTCGCTAATGCCACTCATGCCTTGATGGTATCCTTGATCACGTGTCTCGAACGCCTGCTCATGCCCCTGCACCCAAAGTAATCCGAACTCCGTACTAGTACCCATTCGCGCTCAATCGTCCAAGCACGAGCTGAGTAACACCTTCTCTGCACTCTCCGACCTGGCCTGCGACCTGCAAAATTCCCTCTTCGAAAATACGCAGAGTAGATGCAATCATGCGGACGCTGTCCTCGCCGGAGCTCTGATCGCCCATACCAGCTCCCTGTTGTGCCAGTCGCTGGGCTTGCATGACCGTCGAGTCTTCGATAACACGCAGATGGGCCTCGATTTCTGAAAGCGTGCCTGCGTAATTTGCCATCGTCTTTTGCAGTTCAGAAGCCATCGGCATGAAGTAGTTGCCGACCAGATCGGTGTCGTAGTTGCTTGGATCCTCGCCTTCGGGTGCTGTCTGTGGCTGCTGTAGCCGTTGCTGAGAAGCATAAATGCCGCCAAATCCACTCAAGCTCGAGTTGGGGTACTGATAACCTTGTGGCAGCGACAAATTCGTTGCTACGCGCTCGATTCGCTGGAAATCCATCTTGTCTTTCTCGGTCAGCTGACGTTGTGCATCGACACCTCGAGCACCCGAAGCGAGCGCCTGCTCGACATCCTCAGTCTTGTCCCTGATCAACTCGATATCCGGCTGCAAAGAGTTCAGATTCGCCTCGTGCTTTGGAAGGAATGCCTCGATCTGTCTGGCAAACTCTTCTTGTTTCCTGATCATCTTGTCGATCTCTTCTAGCTCTTGTCTGACATTGTCTGCGCAATCCTCGAATCGTGTGGTTGGCCGCAGGTTGTCGACAGTGACTTGCGATGCCGCTTGCGGCTGTGCGCCGGCTGTCTGTCCCATGCCGAGTCGACCAAAAGGGCCGGGCTGGGACATTTGCGCGTGCTGGGTCGCACCGAGTAACGAAGGTGTCTGCTGTGCAGGTCGTGTAGAAGATGATGCGCCAAAGAGACTAGCACCGCCGCTTGTGTTGGTGGTAGGATTCACCGATGCGCCAAAAAGGTTACTTGGAGGTGCAGGTTGTGCTGGTTTTGCGAAGAGATTGTTGGACATGCTGTTGTTGCCAAACAGGCTGGGCTGATTGTTGCCAAAGAGACTCGTCCCGCCTGCGGGTTGCGTAGTGTTTGACTGTGTATTGCTTGTGCCGCCGAACAAATTCGAGGCGTTTCCAGTCGTGTTTGACTGGGCATTGTTTCCGCCGCCAAAGAGACTCGAGGTGTTCGCAGGTTGACTGGTCTGCGCATTGTTATTCGTATTTCCGAAGAGGCTCGCCGTCTGATTCGTCGAAGATGCGTTGTTTGCAGTACCGAACAAGCTGTTGCCTGCCGGTGCCTGACTCTGCTGCTGTTGGGCACTGTTGTTGCCGGCATTGTTAGCTCGGTGTGCATCTAGCATGCTCTGCATAGCACTTGTCGACGTCGGCGCTGGGACCGAGCTTGAGGCAGCTGCGGAAGACGAAGCGGAGAACATAATAGATGCCAGAGCACTTGAAGCAGGAGTGTTGGTGAATGTGCTGCCTCCTACGCCGTTGTTGGCGACGTCTGCTGGCATTTCTGCGAAGAGAGGTTCTTCGGCCGACTCCCGGTCGAATCTCTTCTGCTCTTTCGCGCTCAACTTGGGCTGGCGCATCTTGCTTTTGTGGCTCATGCTGGGCAACGGGCAATGCAAGGGGTATGGCGAAAGATGCAGATGCGGACGGGTTCTGGTTTGTGATGGTGTAGAGAAATGAGATGAGATGGATACTTACAAGAGACTGTTCGTCGCTCCAGTGTTTAAGGAGAGTGAGTTTGATCGTCCGAATGCCATATTGTCGGTTTGCTACTGTGCTGCAGTGGTGGACAATGGACAATAGCTGCTATTGTTGATTGTTGATGCGCAAAGCTCTGAAGTGAAGTTCGCGACGCGAGAACGAACGCCTGCAGAAGCCGGCTTGGCATTCTTGGCATGCTAGGACTGCCTTGCCTCAACCTTAGGCAGCTTTCTCACCTTCTCTCCCCTCTCCTGTAAGCGCAACTCCTCCTGTATTGTCTCAAGGCGGGGCGTTTGCATACTCCGCCTTCCATACCATCTCACGCTCAACATAGACGTACACCCATTGTAGACCGTTGTTCCGCGTCCACATCCCGAGCGGAGTCATGCAATCAACGAGAATACAACTCGGGCACCGTCAAGTCAACGCATCATCAGAACCATCGGCATGAAGAGTACGACTGACCTTAGTCGTGCTCAGCAATTGTCGGAATGTTGTTGAGGAGAAGAGAAAGACTACCAAGCACTTCTTTGCTCATCCGGCGCTTCCGAATCTTCAACCCCTCTCAGTCAATGGGAGAACCAGACGGTACACCAACCTTCTGGTGCAGAAACTGCGAGGAGCTTCATTGTATGACACCCAGTCGTGTTGATGGCAATACAAAGCACTATCTACCATCGGGAAACCCGACACGTCTCGGCAACGCAAATGTAACAACACGATGAAGAAGGTTCAGCCGTCATGTTTGCGTATCAGTGCTTCTACAAGCCTCCACCTTTGTGACAGTTGAGGAATTTGCAGAGCATAGGCAGGTGGAGAACGCCGGCGAACAAGAGCGGTATATAGTATCGGCCGCCCTGTGGTGAGTTGTCTTCATCCGTATCACGACACACTCGTTCTTGCTCTCATTCGTTCAACGCTTAACAACAAGGAACACATTCAAGATGCAGTTCTTCGTTCCCCTTCTGGCCATCACTGGCATTGCAGCAGCTCTTCCGAATGGCGGTGGAGAGCCAGCTTACGGCAATGGTTACAGCAAGCCAGACTGCATTACCAAGAGCACGTGCTCCGCTGTCTACCACACCAAGACCAAGACAGTCCCATACCAGCACACCAAGACCTTGACTGTCACCAAGTACACGCCATTCTCCTATACCTCCGAGGAGAAGCAGTACATCACTCTTACCGACTTTGGTGATTTGAATGGCCCTCTCATGTTGACTCGTGCTGACTTTCCCCAGTCAACAAGGTCCATAATGTGACCAAGACTGTGCCATGGACCACCACCATCACCAAGCCAGTCGTCCACTCTAATGTGGTCTGCAAGACCCACTACTCCACCGACTACAAGACCACCTGCCTCACTACCCAGACTGAAAGCGTCTGCCCTGAGACCAAGAAGATCCCGAAGACCACGACGCAAGTACCTCATTGACAGCTACCCAAACACATATTGACTTCCATATAGATCGTGCAAGACTGTGCCAACTGTCATCACCACCAGCAAGCCATGCCCGGTCACCACCACCTCTGTATGCACTGAGAGCTCCACCACTGTCTGCACCGAGACCTCCAAGGAGTGCCACCCATACACCACCTGCGCCTCCAGCGAAAAGGGCTACCCAACCCACGAGCCAAAGTACGAGCCAAAGCCACAGTACGGCGATGAGGGTGAGGGCGGGAAGCAGTAAGCTACTGCTTGTCTGATGGGTCGCAAGGCACGAAGACGAGATCATGGCTCATGACTGAAGTCGGAGTTTCGGAGTAAGTGGCTGCGAGGAGGCCAGCCAAAGCGATTACTGCGAGACTGGTAACCAGAATGTCCAAAGAAAAACTAGTCTGGCTTTTAGTAGTATTAATAGCTAATAGCTAATTGGTAATAATAGCTCTCGACGAGCGATGAAAAAGCATCCATCATTCACTTCACGCTTCCTGGCTGCGTCGGCATGTGAGAGCACTGACCAGGTATTTGCCTCACCTCGATAACGCACATGCATTTCAAAAGACCTTACACTTGTACTCGCTTGCGCACTACACTTCCACGACACAACTCGACAGTTCGTAACTAGACCACACCATCAACACTCTGCGCACAATTACAGTCTTGCCTCTTTATACCGCCTGTCAAAGATAACTGCTTTCAAGGGTTGCCATCGAGTCGCCCAAGTGCGAAGGTGCGCACTCTCTCATTCTTCTTCTCGAATGCACTAACACTGATATTCAGTAAATATGGCCACCACGACCGCCTGCTGGCGCGTCATCCACGCCGCGGAACTACTCGAGCAGATCCTCCTGGACGTCGTCCCACTACTAGCCCTACCTCCATTCAGGCGCCCCGCTTTGTAGGCTTGTATGGACCTTCTACCCAAATTTAGTACCTTCTACCTTCCACCTTCTACCTTCTACCTTCTACCTTCTACTCTGTCTCTACGTCCTTATATCATCTCTCCGCCAAGCACACTAACACATATCCGGCTTAGCGGTCCATACCGAGCCTATAGCGAAGCGCCTAAAAGAAAACCGTACGGCTCCTATACAACCGTCTAGTATACAAACGAGAATTCGAATTTATAGAAGTATAACTATATATTAGATAGATAAACCCAAAAAAGCTGTTCTACGCAATAATACGATCTTTTAAAATAGCTATATAAAGTATACGTCAAAATATTAAATTAAAGCTATAGATACGATCTTCTAAGACAGGTCTTCCGGTAACTGCGTTTGTTCTACCCTCCTTTGTATTACTTATATATAAACGGTATATAAAACGCTAAGTAAATTACGAGCGGACCCTTAGATTAACCGCCGCTCGTACCTCCGACTCTTAGAATACCTATATTCTTAACCCTTTGCCTTTATCTTGCTACCGAGGGCTACACTATACTACTAGCATATATTGTAGTCGAGTCGGCTTAGCAGAATAGCGAAAACTTAACGCGCTAACGTCGTATAGACTTGTTTAATAGGTAGAATAAAGCGCAATTAGCAGGGCTACAACCTCCGCTATTTAGAATGTCTTATATACGTTGTAGTGTTATATTAGTGTTTAGCAGGCTAGTTTCGTACGGGTTTATATTAGGCTCGTAGGCGAAGAATTAGGTAGAGTGCTCGTAATTGGTTGTCGGTAAGTTCGGAAGCTAGCCCTAATTACTAATCTATCACGTGCACTCGGTCGCAATATAATCCCCATTCATCACCTTCACGCAACTCAATTCTTCATGCCCACGAGCCTGAATGGAGGTAGTACTAGCCGGACCCGACTAGAATCCGGACCCATTGCACCTCGACTTCATTGCACGACGAACACTGCTCTGCTCACAACGCGTCTGCACAGCATTCAGAGACACAATCACCTCGTCCTCAAAGTGACAAGAAAAGCTCCTCCTCTCACCACCGAAATCCCAAATTCCGTACCTCAATCCATTTTTTTTTTCACGGAGGAGTACTTCCGGACCTACAAATTCTCAACATTCAGATGCAGAGCCTTCTCGGACACGGCACACATTTTTTCTGCATTCGACTTCGTGGCCAGCAGATCCGCTACTGGTCATGGCAGCGACTCGTGATGCGTCTTTCTTCAAACTGCATCTTATTCTCAAAATCTTCGCTTATCTTCGAAGGGGGTGAGGTGACCGGTAGTGCTTCCGGTCACCATGTCTAATCGTTTGAGGCTGTTGGAGTGCTTCTGAAGAGCAGTCGAGAGATCGGCGAGGTTGAGTGTGCCAAGCCAAGGAGCCAGAGGTTTCGCAGAAGAGCGTCCGTCTGGTTTGAAGGGTCCGTGTAGGCTGTGACGTCGTATATGATGTTTGCTGATTGCACCGCGCACTTCACCACTCCGTGGTCTGCACGTCGTATGAGCCTAACGAGCGCTGAGCGATCGCTGTGGCGGCGATGAAGAGCAAGCTCTGGCGAAGGCAGCTGGAGAGAGGTTGTTGCAAAGGTAGCGCGAGCATTGACGAGTGGGTTGTGGATAGAACATGCGGCGCGGGTGGTGATTGCTAAGTGTCTTGCCAGGTGTAGTGTGGAATAGTGGCCACTGAACACCTACAACTTTCAGGCGCTAAAGCTGTAGAAGTGATGCCACTGACTCCGCAACATGTCCCAGGGCGCGGCGGCGAGAACGAAGTACAGTCGATTCCGGGGCGGACCTTCCTAAAAATCGCACTCCTCACAGAGCACGCATATCCATACATCCACACTACCTAATCGAATGAAGAAGCTGCAAGAGTGGTATATTCGCCGAGGAAAACGACGTCAGAAAAGCAGCCAGGTCCCAGTTTCCATCCATCCATCCATCCAATTCCAGTCCAGTCCAGTCCAGTCCCATCCATGCCGCTCTCAGAAAACAAAGCAAAAACACCGGCCAGCGCCATGCTTAAAAGTCCCGTAGCACTTCCCGAAGCAAACGCCTTCCAGAAAAATATCAAGTCGCGGCGAGCAGTGAAGCCCGCGCGCGACACCGCATGAGGACTTTTGGATGTCCCGTCTCTTACACTCTATTCCCGATCCCATTCCATTCCGATGCTTCCTCTTTCAACGCCGTTAAACACTGACTTCCCCCGGGTCGTCTTCCATGACGTGCTCGCTCCAACCCTGAGTTGACGTTGCGCCACTGACGCTCCTAGAGTCGATGGCCATGCCCTCTCCCTCGCCTCGCTCCACGTATTTCTGATAGTGCAGATCTTGGTAGATCCGCTGAAAGTATAGTCTCAAGCTTCGCAAACCACGAAGGTAGCCACGGTCGATGTGATCCGGATTGTGTGGCGGACACGGCTTGTGCTGCACGTTTGGAAGGCTCTCAGCCGTGACGCAGTTTGCGAAGTCCACGATCTTGAGTTTGATGTCCGAATATTGAGCTGGCTTGCCGTCAGCATTCCAGTCTTCTTTGACTTTACCGTTGCTATCCGCATCACCGCGGTCGTAGATCATGAGCAAACTGCTGGCATAGAGGCGGTAGCCAGGCAACTTGCGGATGATGCGATCCAGTTGGTTGATCCTTTCCAGCACAGTGGGTATGTGCTTGAGTGCGGAAGCGTGGCCGATGCCGTCGAAGAAGAACCGCTTCAGCGCATTTTGAAAGTCAGCACCAGCCTTGAGATCCCGTCCAAAGTACTTGTCTTCAAAGTTGTACTTCTGGTCGCGCACATTGTAGACCTGCATGCCACACACACGGACGCCGAGCTCACGGGAAGTGGTCATCTTGCACTTCATGCGCTGGGACTGCTGCTTCTTCTCTGTTGCTTCCACGCCGTACTGCCGGGTTCCCATCTTCAAGTCGAGCACGCACGGCTTCTGCATGCCAGCAGTGAGGTCTTCTAGCAGCAGGAAATGCTCGACGCGCTCACTTGGTTGCACGAGCGATGTTTCTGGATTGCGAGGCTCAGGCGGGCCGAAGTCAATGGCAGGGCCAAGGCGTGGCATTGAATTGCTGCGGGAGTCGTCATCCGGAGTCGGTGGCTCGGTATTCGTCGCACTTGCCTTTGCCTCATCCTGAAGCACCTTGCTATCGTGTTTGGCAGATAATTCTTTCTTGAGATCATCCATGGCAAAGACATCGTCCTCGGCATCAGCAGTGTACGATTCATTCTCATGAAACTCCAAGTCGCCGCGACTACCCTCGATATCTGTTGGCTTCCTCACTAGGCCACCACCAGAATGACGGCGACGATGAGCTCGCCCAGAGCTGTCGGGTTTTGGCAAGTCCTGCTCTGAGACTTCTGCGCTCTTGCTCAACGCCTTCCTACTCTCCTTCAAGACCTGCTCCAAGTCAGATGCAGAGCGATCACCATTAGTGAGATTTCGCCGCGACAATGGACCCTTTGCTAATCCCTCGCGTTTAGTACGAGAGACTTCGGCATTGCGCTGCAGCGATGAGATGTCAACCGAGTTTTGACGTAGTGTGTGACCCGGGTCGTCCTGCATGGGCTTCGGCACCTTTCGAACCGAGCGAGCTTGGTATGTGCGGGAACCGTGGCGGTGCTTATGAATGACCGGGGGTGCAAAAACTTCTCGCAGGACATGATCTCGTAGCTGGCCATTGACTGATGTGAATCCCCAGCTGCTAGCTGACTTCAACGATGGACGGCGAAGCGGTTTGTCGCCATCGCTGTGAGATTCAGGCCGGTCTGGTGATGACATGGTCCTGTTCAGTTCCGGACTCGGCGTCCTAGACCGAGGCATCTTAAACAAATTGTCTGGGATGAGGTGTCTGTTGTTGGCCAAGATGACTTGAGGAATGCCAGGAGCCTGTGACTGCATGGAGCGGCTGATGACACGAGCTTGGTCGATGTGCGCAGGCTTGGCTTCCTCGTTCGATGGCTTAAGGTCGTCAGTCTTACCGTCACTACCAGCCGAGGGCACTTTACCCTCTTCAGACGGTGCATGTTTTCGGCGCTTTTGGTCTTTACGGTAAGTTACGTTGAGAACACCAATGTAACGTGGCATGAAGCCGAGAAGTTCAGGGTGAGACTTTTCGACGGTCTCGTAGAACCTGTTTTCTTTGCTGTTAAGTTGCTTGCACACAGCACGCCGAGAAAACCTGTAAATGGAAGTGTGACCTCCAACTTGATGCTTGTAAGGCTTAAGCTCCACTGCTCCGATGGGCGCAGGTGCATGTTGTGCATGCTTTCTGAAGGATGACCGCCTGTCAGGTTGCGCCTTGACGAGAGGAGTGGCGGTGGGTGTAATTTGCAGGGCTTCATCGTCTTCCTCTTCGCCAGATATCGACGCGCTCGACCCGTATGCTTCACCCTCGGTAGGCTCAATGTCGTATTCGGAGTCAGAGACGAGCTCAGTAGTGTTGATCGCTTGCGGCAATTGCTTGAAGTCGTACTCGGATGTGGCTCGTGACATGCCCGACAGGTACTCTGCAGCACCTTCACCTTGTAAAGACACCTGGACGTCGTTGGCGCATTGGTTGTCCTGCTTATTTGTCGACACATCTGACTGGTCTTTGGCCTTTCGCTCCACGATCTGATCCTCGATGGGACTATCGCCGAGGGTGACAGCTTGGTGCGGATAGTAGGTGGCCGAAGAGATGTGCTCACGATCTGATTCTTCCTCATCGTCTTGCCCAACAATCTTGCGAAGCTGCTCGTGCATCCGCCGATCGTGATTCTGACCCGAGAGATTCTTTCGAGGAGTGCCTGGTTGTAGATGATGATGATTGCGGATATCTTCCAGAAGTTCAAGAGGTAGCTTCTTTGCCATGTCATCTCTAGAGACAGGGAGGTGATTTCCACCCTCAAGTGCCTCCACATCCTCGTCTATTGTTTGCTCTCCATGAGATTCGCTGATTGTTTGCGCTTCCAGGTGTCTCGATAATTCAGATTTGGAAGCATCCTTGCTTCTAGCAGCTTTCTTGCGTTCCACTTCCCTCTTCTCTTCTTGATCATTCTCCTTGAAGAGACCCAGATAATGGCTCGCTTTACGGCTGCGGGCATTCGCTGATGGTTCAGGCGGTGGAAGCTGAGCATCAATAATTTTATCAACATCCATTCCCTTGACGCGACTGGGCTTGCGCTGCGACTCGGCAATGGTCATGCCGTTCATCTTCGCCTTCCCTTCCCTCCACGAGCGATATAATTGTCGTTCGGCGCTAAGAGCTGAGTCATACTCGGGGCTCGTTGGGTCCGAGCTGGGGATAGATGGCGAGTACTCGTCTTGCTGGGGTGAATCTGTCCGCTCGGAAGTTGGAGGAGCGAGCGGTATGAGGTCATGTAGGTCGTACAGTGATCGACGTTGATGTTGCGGCGGTGGGTGGTCCCTGTTGATCCTTGGCCTGCGATTTGGCATGCCTTGTGGTAAAGACTGATTGTAGAATGACGGCGAGGTATATGGAGGAACATGCTTCCGCAGGGCAGAAGAAAGGTCGACAGAGCTGCTCCGCATGGTGGAGACTGCCATTGAAGAGTCTGAGTCGGTCCTTCCTGCTGATAATGGCCTGGTCTTGCCTTGACCGAGGGCTCCTGCCCGTTCGGGAGAGTTGGAGGCTACAGGACTGGCGGAATAGTGGGTTGCGAAAATGGAGTCTCTCTCACATAGTTGAGGCCGGACAGCATGTTGAATGTGAGAAGCTGCTCTGGCTGCGGCGGACGAGCGACGGTGAGGATGCGAGGGTTTCGGACGCTGTGGGCTCTTGGGCTGAGGAAAGTTGGAGAGTTGTGCTGCTGTCCCTAACACACGTTGTTCGTCGCCCAGTGATGCTGCAGCGTCGGCATCGGCATCGGTGTCGGGTGCGTGTGGCAGCACAGAAGCAGCATCGTGGCGCGGCGGCGAGATGTGCTTGGATCTCGCATTTATCGGTATGTCCCTGGCCATATGCGCTCCAAAACGTGCCATGTAAGGCGGGTCATTGAGCCTGCTACCGCGCCGTGGCCCAATAACGGAAGAGGTATGGCGGAAGTCGGGATTCGCTGCAGCATTCAGGCCGTACCGTTGTCGCGCGAGGCCCGCGGAAAGGAGGCGGTTTGGGGCTGAGATGGGAGATGCCTGCGGGAGGCTGCGGTGTGCGGTGTGCGGTGTGCGGTGTGCGGTGTGCGGTGTGCGGTGTGCGGTGGAGGAGGCAGTCGGGGCGCGGCCACGTTCAGAGGCTTGCGATATGTGTGGTGCGTTGCGCAGGCGTGGGCGTGGGCAAAACAACCGCAATGAGGTGAGACAAGTGCGCTTGACCACGCTAAACGCGGAGTTGACCATCGATGTAGGGATCCGTAGACGCTAAAGCGGGTGCGTCCCGTACGCGAAAGTTTTATTACGCTAGGATCTTTTATTACGCTAAGCGTTACGCGATATCTATACGCGTATCTTTGCGCGTATACTCTCTTCCTTTCTTTCTATAATATACTACTAGTACGTATCTACCCCTAGCCCCTACCCCTATTCCTTTATATATACCTATATATATACGCGACGAGCTAATAAGGCGACTTCGATGTCGCAGCTAACCGAGTTCCCCTATACTACTATACCTAAGCCTATAGCTCTATATATACCTCCTAATATACCGCAAGACATTAAGACCGTTACCTAAAACAATACTCTACTAGAGCAATCTATAAGTATAGAGACTAGGGCATATATCTGCCTATACTTATGCCTATATAGAGCTCCTACCGCAAATATAAGAAGCGCCTCTTATAGGGCGAGTTATTTAATATACCTAAGATAGAAATCGTAGTATATAATCTCTCTTCTACCTATATAATAGGCTAAACTAATACCTATAGATCTACCTAAAGACTAACTAGGAGGCCGTACGTACCTATATAGGTAAGGTAACTTATCGCATACCGGTAGGATCTAAGAACTTCGGTCGCTTCCTAGCTATCTAGAAGAATCGCGATAGGTATATACAGTATTATGCCTATATTACTAGTTATTGCTAATACTATAATAGAAAAGACGAAGACGAAGAGACACTAAAGGAGTTATACGAAGAGAAGGGCTTCTATAGTATATAACTCTATCTTTGCCTATACGTATACCTAAAGCTAACACCTTATAGACTATCTGCCGCGACACTTCGGCTCTCGCTATATACATTATCTATAGTATACGTAGCTCCCTGCCTAGAGCTTTGCCTATACTAACGTATATATAGTATAAGGGAAAAGTCGAGCAGCCTAAGGAGAAGGACCGTAGTAGTCGGTATACGCCTAAGACTAAGACAAAAAAGTGCATTAGTAGGTTTAGGCAGCTCTATAGGCAAAGCTTTTTACTAATGTATCCCTTAGATTTCTTCGACAATGCCTAGGATCTATACGAGGTTAAGTATAGCTATATCTTTACCCTTACCTTTGCCTATACTAATCCGTATACAGCCCCGACGCCCTAGGTATACCGAGCAAGGGCAAAGCTAAGGGCAAAGCACCGGCTAAATCTGCCGAGACAATCGAAGACTTAGAGACTAAGTCTAAGTCTAAGTCTAAGAGTAATAGCGAGGTATATATGCCGATCTATGCCTATGCCGCTAGTTATATACTAACTTAAATAGGCCCTTCGTCGTCCGGCGTAGCAAGTACGGCAAGGTATAAATAGTTACGTATATACCTTTGCCTATACTAACGCCTATACAGATTAATCTAACTAAGGCCAACCGCGAGTTCCGTGCCGAGTTCCCCGAGGCTATAGTGCCTTGCCTAGGTTACTAGGCTAAGAAGGCTAAGAAGAGTAAGTCTAGAGCTTTAGCTATAGCAATGCCTATACTAACGCCTATAACAGACTGCAACCTTAGTGCCGATACCTGCAACTACACTAAGAACTACAACGTCGTTATCCTTATAGGATAAGGGCATAGATATAGGCATAGGCACGGGCATAGGATGAATATAGGATAATTATTGCCTATATAGGCACGTATATAAGCATAGAACTAGCTACTAGTTGAAAGCCCTAGCTATAGTTAGACTTGAAATCTAACTACAGCTAAATCTTCTCCGCACTCGTAACTTCCTATATGCGCCGTGCTATAGCTATAGGTCGCCCTTTATAATATCGTAACTGCTTTCGAGGCTTCTAGAGTCTAACAAAGGTAGCTTAACTAAAAAACAAGGGGGATAACGAAAGGCTAGCGGTTATATCCTAAGAATAATATAAGCTATACTAGTACTAATAAGTACTAACAGCTAGAAACTAACAATAATTATATATATACTAGGATTTATAGGTAGTAGAAGCTACAGTTTAGACGAATTAGTATAGAAAGTTTGAAATAATAGGGGCTATATTAGTAAAGTTACCTAGATCAAAATAATTAAAACTAGTATATAGCGGGTAGGTCCTTTTTAGTATAGATACCTAGAATTTTATAACTGCTAGTTTTAGTCTAAAAGACATAGAGATACCGATCGATATTATACTATAGCGTTACTAGTAGGCTGGTTTTTTATATAGGACAGATGCTACTACTAGTACTATACCTATTCTCTAGTCTTTAGCTATAGCAGTAGGGCGTTATTATCCCCTACTGTTAATAGAATAAAGGTATAGTCTTTAAAAAGTAGGTTTAGGTATTCTTTTTAAGTTAGCTATATACTAGCGCTAGTACGTATCTTATAATGCCCTAAGGCCTATATACTGTTCTATCGAATACGTTATACATATTGAATTACACAAACGTACAGAAGTAGTAGTACTCTAGTTTAATACTACCCTATTTTGATTTTTATATATATATATATATATATATATATATATACTACCGTATAGGCCTATATACCGACTAACTAATATTAAACTATATCTTAATCTCTAGCGTAGCCTAGTATCGGGTCTCGTATTACTCGGGAGATAATACGCTACTTACCCGCTTTCCGGCTAATAGTGCTATTCTATCGGGTATAGTCTACGGATCTACTAGTAACCCGCTTTTTTAGTTTAGTATACTAAGGTCGGCGAGGTATGTTTCTAACTAGTATCGAATTGCTCTAATACTATGCTATACTTTTAACGTAGCAAGCTAGATATATAGCTAATCGTATAGATATAGGTACTTTAGCTAGGTATTACCTACCCGCTCGCCTATACTAAATAGGACAGTATAGGCTATAACCTAGAGATAATCGGCTTTCTATACTAGTAGGCCGGGAAGGGTAATAGTACTTATATCTACTACTTTAAAGTCGGTAGCAATCGCACTACTACTAGTGCCTATTTCGATTTTACAGGTTAGTTTAACAACAAGGATTTGCTACTCGATCGTATATATCTAGAAGACTAGTTTGTATACCTGCTATACGATCTAATTCTAGCTAATACTAAGGTCGCCGACTATATTATATTTCCGAATTGTAGTATATTAGACTAGGACGCTAGTAAGGCTCGTGCTATTACTATAGTCCGCGGCGTAGACGAGTAGCATATCGATAGTATCTAGAGAAGCACGTTTTACTATAACTAAAATATTTAGCTACCGCCAACTAGGCAACCCTAAGCAGTACTATAAACGTTTACTATAGTCGGCCCAAGATAGTATTATATACTATCGCAGGTTAGCGTACCAGTATTGCTATACCCTATAGTAGGTCGGGTTAGTTTGGTTTAGTTTACTAAGCCAAAATTCTAGGTTAGTTTAAGTTAGTTTGCTAAGCAACTATACGAGTAGCAGGTTAGAACTATAGAATTAGTCGGTTTCTAACAAGTATAGGAATATATACGTAACTTAAAGCAAGCCCTTTTTAAGACTAGTACTAATAGAATTTTCGAAGACTTTTATTTCGGACGTCTAATAAAGCATAATATACTATATATATACTTAGAGAGTATTTATCGCGCGCTATATAGCGCCGTATAATAGCGGCATATTTTGTATATAGAAACGCTTATAGAGGATACTAAGAATATCTATCCTACTAGAATATCTATCCTACCTACTACTATCTCGAATTTAGATATTCTAACCCTTAAGAATCTAATCTAGGGCTTTAAAATCCTTACCTATAGTCGTAACGCGATTCACGTAGATAGCTATAAGGACAATAGCTAAAATAGTATTAGTATGGTTCCAAAAGAGGTAGTAAAATTTAGTAGGAAATTCTACCTAGATATCTTCCGCAGTTACTACTTTAATAGTAATAATACTACTATATATAGTCTAACTATCTAGTATAAAGACCCGGCTAGAGGTACTAGCTACAGTAATCTTATAAGTAACCTAACTCTATTACTAGGAAATATAATAAATATCTATACTACGGTAGGCTATACTAAATAAGTTAGCTATTTAGTAGGAATAGGCCTACTACCGTCTCTATATACCGGCTCCGAGTGCCGACTATGCCTCTAGATTTAACTCCCCCCTATCTCGAAGGCTAAGGTACCGAGTAGAACCCCTGTACCTTATGTCTGCTCGGTTGTCGCGGAGCGCTTATAAGTAAGATATTAAAAAAGTATATAAAATATACGAGAAGAGCATCCTAGGATATAGGTCGTTAGTAAATAATAGTAGTACGCCTAGTTATTTATATAGTACGTTACTCTAAACGACTATGAGCCTATATTATCTCGTACTTCGCTTATAAGACTATATTATATACGACCGGGTAAGTATAGTAGGGAGGTAGAGGTAGTATCTTAGGACGAGGCTTCTATATATCTTAGAATCTCTTATACGGGCTATACGTTCTTCTTCGTTAGACTCGTAGGTAGAGTCGTCGCTAGACTCTACTAACTTGTGCTATCGATCTCCTCCCTAGTTATCCTAGCTATACGAGTAGCGGTAAGCGATAATACCTAGATCGTATAACGATCTCTCCCCTTCTTTAGTTATATATACTTCTACTTCTTAGTATAGTTAAACTACGAATACTATTAAGGCAAGCCGGGATATGGCAAGAAACTAGTCTAAATATAGCTCGTCTCCGTAATAATCGAGTAAACATAAGGCGCTAGGTTTCTACTTCGTACCTTATATCTAGGTATAACGCGGGAATAAAACTAGGAGTATAGCCGGTATATATAGCTAGTAAAAGGATGCGAAAGTGTGCCTCGTCCTAGGTTAATGTGGCGGCTAAATACAAATCCTAATTAATCCGCTATAAACCGACGCCGAATCTTAGCTAGAAGCTATATATTTTTATATTAAAGAGCAACCCGCTTCGTATAGATAGTAAGGAGGTTAGAAAGCTTAAACTCGGTTATAAGAAATATCTAGGGTTGCGTTGGTCTACTTTACCCCTCGCCTACGTTCGGGGATTTAAACTATACGTAAAGTCGCACTTTCTTAGTAGGCTATACGTAAAAGTCGACGATAGCACTATTATAGAGTAAATATAATAGGAAACTGGATATAAGTGCGATAAGAGATGAGAAACAGTAGATTTCCGCTATATTAGTAGCTAGTAAATTGCGACTAAGGACCTTAATCCGGCCTCTTAGCAAAACTCTAGTCTACTATATAATCGATTACTTTATATATCGGCCTATATATCTATTATGTAATCTACTACCCTCTCCGCCCTCTCTACCTTAGTTAACCGCTTAGTACGTACCCTCTTTATATTTTCGCCCTTTTTACGCCCTATACCGAGTTTTCTATACTCTTTGTATACTAGAAAGAAAGAATACGAAGAATACGCGCCTTAGAATAAGGTAGACTAGCTTGCTAAGGATTATATAAGAAAACGGCGGTAGTAAAGTCTATAGCTATAATATACTCGGATAAGGCTATATATATAATATTTAGACTCGCGGTTCCTTACTATACCTACCTAGATATCCGAATAGGACTAGAATATACGATTATATCGAGGTTTACGTATAGCCTACTAAGAAAGTGCGATTCTATATATAGTTGAAATCCCCGCGACTACGGGATAAAGTATAACTAACGAAACCCCGGATACCTTCGTAGCTTTCGAGAGATTACTAATCGCTATAGCCGTAAATTATATACTAGACTTAAAATCTAATATAATTACTTAGACGAGTCGCTAGAAGGGAGTTATAGAGATTAAAAGCTCGGTCTACCTTTTATCTTAGAATAGCCGGATCTCGCGAAGGGTAATAGTATCCGGTCTAAGGCGCCGCTTTTTTATCGTCTAAACCTACCTTTTACCCTTTTTTATAGAAGAATAGCTTTTCTTCGTAATAGTCTTCGTCTGTCTACCTTTTTAGCTACTCTATCCTTCTTATATCTACCTAAAGTATTCTTATTTCGTAGTACTGTTTTCCGAGTAACCCCCTTCCCTTATATATACTATATATAGTATTCCTCTTCCGATATTTCGTTCTCGCTACGGTCTTCCTATACTTAGCTTACTTTACTCGTACTCTATTCTAAGTTCTAAAGGTATCTTTATATACGTTCGGGCGACGAAGGTATATCGCTAAGACCTAGAAAAATTAATAAGCCTATAAATGTAAAGAGATATTTATACTTCTGATACTCTAGACTAAATAGTCTTCTATTAAACCGTCCTAGTCGGTTATCGTTAGATTCGTAATTAGGATAGTCCGTATCCTTACTAGGAAGTGTTATAGAATATCTCTTTACGATTATAGGCTTATTAATTTTCTAGGTTCTAGCGATATACCTTCGTCGTCTAAGCGCATATAAAGATACCTTTAGAGCCTAAAGGGCAAGGGTAAAGCAAGCTAAGTATAGGGAGACCGTAGCGAGAACGAGATATCGGAAGAGTAAGACTCTCCGTAGTATATATAAGGGAAGGGGGTTCCTCGGAAAACAGTACTAAAAAAACAAGAAGGCCTTAGATAGATAAGAGAAGGCTAAAAGGAGTAGGTATACGAAGACTATCGTAAAGAAAAGTTATTCTTCTATTAAAAAAAGGGTATAAGGTAGGACTCGACAATAAAGAAGTAGTACTTTAAACTAGGTACTATTACCCTTCGCTAGATCCGGCTATTCTAAGACAAAAGAGGGACCGAGTTTTTAATCCCTAAGACTCTCTTCTAGCGACTCGTCCGAGAAATTATATTAGATTTTTAGTCTAGTATACGATTTACGGCTAAGGCGATTAATGCTCTTTAGGAAGCTACGGAGGCATTTCTTATAACCGAATTTAAGCTTTATAACCTCCTTGCTATTTATACGAAGCGGGGTACTCTTTAATATAAAGATATATAGCTTCTAGCTGAAATTCGGCGTCGGTTTATAGCGGATTAGTTAGACTTTGTATTTAGTCGTTAGATTAACCTAGGAGGAGGCCTATTTTCGCATCCTTTTACTAGCTATATATACCGGCTATACTCCTAGTTTTATTCCCGCGTTATACCTAGATATAAGGTACGAAGTAGAAACCTAGCGCCCTATATTTACTCGGCTATTATAGAGACGAGCTATATTTAAATTGGTTTCTTCGTATATCGCGACCGAGTAGATAGTTAGCGAAAGGGCGATAGAACGTTTATAATACGTCTCTATTTAGACCTAAAATACAAAGGTCCTAAGGAGCCCTAATATACTAACTATAAAGAGATTCTTTAGTATTAGCACTTTAATCCTCTATACTACGAGGCAGATAGTAAGCCTACGAGAGAGAAATTTTAATAAGAGATTCTCTATAATACGTAGCGCTATTATATAGCGACAGATACGTACTAAGTCCGGCAACTCGAAGAAGAATTAAGATAGCGACTAAGGAAGATTTAAGAGATCGATAGTATACTAGTAGAGTCGAGGTCTTATAAGCGAAGTACGAGATAATATAGGCTCTAGGTCGTATAGAGTAACGTACTATATAAATAACTAGGCGTGCGACTCTTATTTACTTACGACCTATATCCTAGGATACTCTTCTTATACTTTTTATACTCTTTTCTAATACCTTACCTATAAGCGCTCCGCGATAACCGATTAAATATAAGCTATAGGGTTTCCGCTCGGTACCTTAGCCTCCGAGATAGGGCGGAGTTAAATTTAGAGCGATAGCCGGCACTCGTAGCCGGCATACAGAGATGGTGGTAGGCCTTTTCCTACTAAATAACTAGCTTGTTTAGTATAGCCTACCTAACATTTCTCATATTTCCTAGTAATAGGCCTAGGTTATTTATAAGATTACTATAGCTAGTAAGGGAATTACTAAAGAATATCTATACTATAGTAGGATACTATTATTACGCCGAGTGTTTGTTAAAAGGAGGCTTTTGCCTATTACTATACCGGCTATATATACCGGCTATATTTCAAAGTTTGCCGCACCTGCCTTTTTTAGCCGTATCTAACTTCTTTTCTTGCTCTAACGTTACTATAATATAGGCTTGCGCGACGCTTACTCTATTACCTAGCGATACCGCGATACTACCTCTCTCGCTATATTTAACCTTCGTATCGATACCTATATCTCTACGCTCTATATCCACTACCTCCGTACTAATATCCTCGCTCCGCGCGCGCCTTCGTATACCTTCGTAACGTACTTTCTTTATTAATTCGACGACTTTTGTAATACCGAGTCTACTTAACTAAGTTATAACGACTCGTACGAAGGGACCTACTACTTCTACGGATTATAATAAGACCGGAAGTAGTAGAACGAGTATAGTATATTAACGCAAGAAGGCTACTACTACTACCGCCAGCTCTAGCACTAGAAAGAGCGTCGCGAGTAAGGCTCCGCGTAAGACGACGGCAGATAAGGCTCTAGGCAAGACGACGACTAGCGCTTCTACTACTAGTAGCAATAATCGTACGAAGCGTCGATAGCGCCTAGGAAGTAAGTCCTATCTATAGCCGGTAGCGTAGCCGGTAGCGTAGCCGGCATTCTTACGATTCTTTTACTAATCCTTCTTTAGCCGTAGCCCTTCGTTAGATTCGGATATATTAGAAGGATACTAAACTCCTAATCCGTAAAGCTCCTTTCTAACGACTTATTTGTAAAATTGCCTAGTATATTATATAGGACCTTCGCTTCTAAGCCTCTATAATAGATACCCTTTAAGAGGCTTTAGAAGCCTACCTTATTTGTATCTACGAATATATATTTCTCTTCTACCTCTTTTCGAACTATACTAATACTATTTTAGCTATTGTCCTTATAGCTATCTACGCGAAGCGTATTACGATTATAGATAAGATTTTAAAGCCCTCAATTAGATTCTAAAAGGCTAGAATGTCTATATTCGAAATAGTACTACTAGGTAGGATAGATATTATAGTAGGAAGAATGTTCTTAGTGTTATCTATAATCGTTTTCTATATACGAAATAAGCCGCTGTTATACGGCGCTATATACCGCGCTCTAAATACTCCCTAAGTATATATATATATATATATATATATATATATATAATATATATATAGTATAGTATACTTTATTAGCCGTACGGAATAGAAGTCTTTAAAAATCCCGTTAGTACTAAGGAGTAAAAACGCCGGCTACGCTACCGGCTACGCTAATAGCTACGCTACTAGGTCTTTTAAAGAACTAGAAGAAGATAGATATTTTAGTTAATTTGTATTAGTTTATATTTTTATAAAAAGAAAATAGGGAAAAAGAAGGAAGGTTAAAGAGCCTAATACTTATAGTTATAGGCATTATCCCTGTTTTCTAGACTATATTATATACCTGCCTTCGCAACTCTACCTAATACTTACTCTAAATATCCTTATACTCTACCTACTAGAAATTTAACTAGATACCTAGACCTATAGCTGCCTCTATATCTTTTACTATCTTCTATAGGTTAAAGGACTCCTCTATAGCAGCCTCTATATCCTTATATAATACGAAGTTACTACCTACCCTACCCTTTATATCTACTAAATAACTAAGAGTTCTAAGGAACGAACTAGCATTCGGCCTTAGTATAGCGAGTAACTAGTAGAACGTAGTATAGAGCTATTTTATAGCTCTTTTATATACTATACCGATACCGAGGGAAGAGCTATCCTATTACTTAATATTAGAGAATAGTTTAGTAGGAAAGTGTTAGAACTTCTTAAAGAGGGCTTCTAGGGAAATCGATAAGTTCTACCTAGATATAGATAATAATATTCTACCGAGTAGTTAGGGAATCAAATAGCGAGCGAAAGGATAAAATTTATACCTAATAAGTGTAGTTTCTAAACTAACCTATAATAGCTTGTATATATATATGCTCTTAATTAGTTAGTGCCCTTAGCTAATTATCTATAGATTTAGGGTTATATAAGTACCTTCCTATAACTAAAAAATGCCGGCTACGCTGCCGGCTATACTCTCGTGTCTTATAAAGGGCTTGCTTCGAGTTACGTATACATTCTTACACTTCTTAGAAACCGATAAATTCTATAGTTCGAACTAGCTACTCCTACAGTTGCTTAGCAAACTAACCTAAACCAAACTAGATCTTTAGCTTAGCAAACTAAACTAAACTAAACTAACCCAAACTACTACGGGGTCTAGTCTCGACTCGTACGAGTTCTATACTACTTTAGGTACCGCTACCTAGCTTCCCTATTTTTTATAGTATCCCGTTATACTTCTTAGTAGATATAATATACAGTTTTCGTCCCCGTTGTAATTATACCGTAGTTAACTAAAGCTAAGGCGAATAACGCCGTAGGCCTAGAGCTAGTACTCCTATACTAAAAGGGCACACAAGGCTATAGTTATTACTAAGTATATTATCTCTACGAATACAAAACTAAAGAGCTTACTTACGAGTCGGGCAGAATCGAGTATAACAACGCTTACTATCGATAATAACAGTCATCTTCGGCCACTTCTCCTTACTACCGTAGAGCTTCGTAAAGGCCTTTTCGAAAGACGGTAGTTCTATCTATAGGACTAGTTTATACTAGCCTTCCGAGACGCTATTCCGGTAAATAATAACTTTGTTTAGTAGAGAGCTATTCTTCTTATACTACAAATTTAGACGCTTAATTACCGTTTCTTCGAGCCTATTAGCTATTTCTTAGCGGCTATCCTATATACAGATCGAGCCTAGCTATTAGAGTACATACTTATTAACGCTAGTAATAAGCGTAGCTATTAATAGCGTACCTTCGAGGAGCCTAGCGACGGGTAGGTAATATTAATACTAAATAGTAGTATTATCTCGTTATTAAGCAGTTTACTACTAAAGGCATTTAGTATATAGTACGCTACGCTACTACCCTTTACGTTAAACTTAAGTACTAGATTACTAATATATATGCCCTATCTAATAGGCTTCTAAAGCTTCGATCCTAGAGAGTAGATAGTATATATACTAAATTTAATATTACTAAATTATTTAATACGAGCGTATAACTACTTATCGGCTTCCGGAATAAATACAATGAGGAACCTAATACCTATACTCTCCTAGGCCGCTATCGCGAAGATATTAGTATTATATAACGTAGCGAGCGGTTACTAAAGTCGCGATTCTATATAGTAGTAAGGGTCTCTAGTAAGATTTCCTACGTAGGCTTAATACGCTAGCCTATACTAATACTATATAACTTTATATACTTTTTAACTCTATTAATCAAGTTTTAAGATTACCTAGGTCCCTATATAGCGTATTGCCTCGATTGCCTTTACGGTTAATAATTAGAAACGACTACCTATTAGATTTTCTAGGTCTAGTAAACTTAACGCCCTATAAGTTCTAGGAGCCCTTCTACGGCGTAATAGGTTTCGAATTCGAACTATAGCTTACGTAAAGAGTATCTAGGATATAGTCGGATACTATAATTATACTAGGACCTACCGAGAAGCTAAATAGCCTTATAGAAGTTAACTAAGGATTACTATTAGGATTAGTAAGACGGAAGAGTTATATACTATTCCTAAGTCTAGTACCGGGAGTTCTAGTAACAGATATAGCGTTAAGATTTAAAAATCTAGCTACGAATTTAAGTATCTTAGAAGTCTAGTTGCTACTAAGTAGGCGTCGACAAGGCTAGCTAGGACGGACTATATATAACTTTATAGGCAGATATTAGTAATTAGCGCACGTACCGACGTTAAGTACTAGACGATCTAGGTACCTACTAGTAAGGGCAATTCCGTAGTACTAACGGAAGTAATTATTAACCGTAATCTATCGTAGTATAGTATTTATAGGGTCGATAAAGCAGAATATAACCTAGTTAGTATTACTTAAACGCTAGACCTAATTCTTGTCGGCGACCTTCGTAAAGCCGATAACAGTCCTAATCTTAACTCTAATTAGCTCTTACTAGCTATCTTTTATATCGGCGGTATCGACCTTTAATATATAAAAGAAAGCTTTAAGCTAGTTAAGATTACTAGTACGCGCGTTAGCCTAAAGCTAAAGTAGAAGTCTAGGTTAGTAAAAGGCACTAGCGGTAACGTTTAAATTAACTAGTAGACGCCGGTTAACTACTAGGCGAATAGAGGAGTAGTAGCCTCGTAGTACTTATAGCCTCCGCCTAAATCGGAAAGCTCCTTCCTAGATAGCTATAGTATAGATAGAATTTGTTTTAGCCTACGTTATAAACGGTATTAGTCTCGTCTAGCGCCCTAGTTTAGACGATGTTTATAAGTAGTAGTATAATTTAGAGTATTAGGTAGTTTAAATATTTCTTTAAATATTCTCCTATTCTTTTCTAATATTATACTAAAACTATCGTCTAGGCCCGTCGTAGTACTATAAGCTTAATAAGAGAGTAAATTAGGCTATAAAATTAAAACAATTCTAGGACATCCTATTAAGTAGTCTTCTATTACTAAAATTTACCCTTATCTTCCTAACGGGTAGATAAAGTATTATTTGTTTATATATATTAGTAGATACTAAGATAATATTAACAGAAACTACTATACCGTTACTACTAGACAACTTAGTCCTAAATAAAATTAATATATAGATCGAAGACGTACCTCGAATCTAGCGCGAATCTAACGCCGCTTTCTATCTAGAAAGTAAAACACGTTTAATTAAATTTCTCGGCGGTCTCTTAATATAACCTAATAAAAAGTATATCGTTAGAACCGCGCAATCTTATTCTATCTAACACAAAACTTTCGTATAGGTCGAGAACGTATCTCGAATCTAAGACGAATCTAACGCTGCCTTTCTAATCGGAAAGCGGTATACGTTATTTAGATATCTAGGCGGTCTCTAGATATATTTTAGTTAAAAGTACCTAGTTCGAACCGCGTAATAAGGTTCTATATTCTAACTAGCTCGATACTATCGTACTACGAGCGGATATTATACTACTTGTAATTAATATTAGCTACGTTAAATACTACGAAAGGGTCTAAGGGAGGTACTTAGGTTATTGCCTCGCCCCTCCTAGTACCTAGACATATATAGCAAACCGGGCCTATAGTCTCTAAAAATAGGGGACGTTAGGCTATTCCCTATACCCTAGGAACTCGCTTAGCTAAACTTAATTTTTCGGATTTTATATATTATAAGTTAAAACCGTCGGTATTATATATAATTATTATTAATATATTGTCTTCTAGACGCGGTAAGGTATAATAGTACCCGCTAAATTCGGATTTACGTATTTCGAGGTATAGTTGTTGCTTATTATTATAGTATCGTAGTATTATCGTTAGTCTTACTAGTATACGTTAGAATTCTCGGTTAGTCCTATAGAGTATCTATACTAATAGTTGCCTATATAGCGATAGCACAATAAGGAACCTAGATATACTCTAAATTACCTTACTCCCTATACTTTATACTGTGAGAATTCGAATAGTATTAATAAAGGCCTACTATAGGCGGAAGAGAGGGTTCTAAGAGGGGATTCTTCCCCCTAGTATAGCGCTAGGACTTGTTACTAGAATACAGACACCCTTATTAACCTAGTATAATATACTATTCCTATATTATTCTAATAGAGGTGCTATTATAGTGCGCTATATACTATAGTATAAATTATAAGTAGACTCTTCTAACTACTAAGTATAGCTATATATACTACGATAGGTTATACTACCTATAGAACCTTATACTATTATAGCTAATAGTAGTAGTAGTAGTAGTAGGAGTATTAGCCTCCGCTTAGTACTACCTACTAGAAATCTAATTTACTAGTAACATTTAATTTGCTATATAGGCCTCTAACCGTATACTAATTATATAGGTTAACCTACTATTTGTCGAGATATAGTTAATACTATAAGGAGCTATAACTAGCTAGCAATAGTTAATACCTAAATAGTAACTACTCGCCTATCGGATTAAGTATATACGTTATATTCGCGTTAGACTTTGCGATACTCGTTAAATATTATTATAAATCTAAGCGTTTATAGAGGCAAAATATGTAGCTAGAACTAGGCAATAGTTCAGATTAATATACTATTAGTCGAGGTATAGCTCAATTTAATTTACTATATAGTATTATATTTAGTCTAGTAGCTATTAATATACTAGGTATCTATCTTAGATCTTAGGTAGATAAAATATTTAGAAGGTTATAATTGTAACTCTTAAGCCTATAGGTAGCCTATATAGACTAGAATAGTCCTTAGGTTGCCTTGTATTCTCCTATATAGAAACCCTTTTTCTTCGGGCCTAGAGGCTAGTAGATAAAGCTTAGGTCCCTTCGTATTAGAATACTAGTTATACTCCTAGTGCTTATTTAATAGGTTTTAAGTTACTATCTATAAGATACTACTAGTATTCCTATAAAGTCGTCTAGTAATATGCTAGCTCTACGTTCTTTAGTACTCCTAATAGTATAAGGTTTTATTCTATTTTTATAATAGACTATTACTAGTATATATTAGTAGGATAACGAGTCGAAGGCTAATTACAAGCATACGAAGATATACCTAGTATATTAGTTTAAGTATTATATATAACGAGATTATAGTAGAGTACTCTATTAGAGTCGAATAAGACATACTAAGTGTATGCGCAGACACATAGCTATACGTTTGCGCATATCGGATCGGGAGACCGGCAATCCCGGATACGAAGATTCTATTATGCTAGGATTATATATTACGCTAAGTAAGGATATGATATCTTTGCGCTTTTCTATGCGCTCGAACCCTCTTCTTCTTTCTCTACTATAAACTACTCGTACGTATTAGACCTAGAGCCCTCTGTATATACCTATGCGCATTCCTAATCCGCTTAGTACTAGAATCAATTCTAGTGTTTATATATATATCCGCACAAAGCTATACGTATAGCAGTCGACTATGCCGTAGGATATTAAGGGCTACGTATTCCCGAGCTCGCTCGTTAACGGTAGCGTAAGTATATTCCTGTAGCTATACGTCGCTATATACTAATGCGTAAACAGAGCAGCTACCGCAAGTACAAAAAGCGTCTGCTTAGTAGCGAGCTAGTCCCTCTACTAATTCTAGATGTCGTCGTAAGCATTCTTCTGCCCTTTCCTATCTATATACTTATATATACAGACATGCCTAAAGAAGAAAGTGCCTGCTGTTCGCCTTTTTATAGGTAAGGTCGTTTGTCGTATGCCGGCTAGTGCTAAAAACTAGAGTCGATTTATCGACGCTACGGAGGATAACGGGTATAGTTATACTATTACGTATATCTATATATAGCACTAATCTCTATAGTGATAAGAGTTTAGAGGATATATACGACGAGGAGGGCATATATTATATATAACCTAGCCTTCGCGCATACCTATATGTTCTACTAATACTTGCGTAGATAATATACCGCGATATAAGGACACTCGCGACGCATATTTAGCACGGGGTATATATTGTCCCCGAATAGATCTGCTTATACTTATGCCTTTATAGTATAGCGGCGTCGTCGAAGAGGGACGTAAGGAAGATAGCAAGCGGGATACCGGCGGTCGCTATACCCCGGAAGACAAGTTAAAGCGCTATATAGGTATAGCTATACCTATACATTTGCCTATTAATTCCTATTAACGAGCCTTAGAATTCTACGACCGCCTCTAGGAGATGTACGAGGACGAGGCGCGAGAGTATACGTAAGTCTACGATTATAGATATACGCATTCTAATACCTATCTAGCAAGGGTCCCTCTAAGGCGACCTCGAAGAAGGCCGATATAGGTAGCGACGAGGGCAGCGACGAGACTAGCGACGAGGCTAGCGACGCGGCTAGCGACTAGACTAAGAACGAGGCTAAGAGCGAGGCTAAGAACGAGGCTAAAAGCAAGGCTAAGAACGAGGCCAAAAACAAGGCTAAGAACGAGGCGAAAAGCAAGGCTACCGATATAGCTACCGATAAGCCCTCTACCAAAGGTCCTAAGACCCCGACCGTAGTTATTAAGTCGTCTACGGAGGACGAGGACGAGGACGAGGAAATAGATTCTAGGTCTAAGCAAGGGTATATACTTAGATATAGTTATAGAGACTTGTCGCTGCTAATATATATAGCAAATTCGAGCTTATACTTGCCTCGAAGTCTAGCAGGGTAAGCATAAGGCTAGCCTTATCTATACTTATACTAATGCGCGTAGGTTAATAGGACGCTTACAAATAACGACTTTAAAAGGCGCTTCCCTAATATAGCCGTACCCTACAATACTTATAAGGCCGCCGGTACGAAGACGAGTATACCTATCTATCCGTTTTAGTCTATTAGTATACTAACGGATGTATAGACTACAAATAGGGTAACTATACCTACGAGAATATAAAGGCATACGTACTCTAATCTATAGCTATACCTACGCGTATAGATAAGAGTACCGTAGGGCTCGTACCGGGGAGAGGGATTCGTTAGGGAATTAGATAGCTATACGCATACAACCGGTTATAGCTATAGCTCGCGCGTTGATTTGGCTTTGCGCTAGCTAATGTTTAGCTTAGCGGCGGTAAGAGTATATAGATTGACATCCTATAGCGTTTGGTATGCAGTAATTTATATACAAACCTATACGCCGACCTATACGCATAGCGAAGTTTATACTACTACTTATAGCATAGCTCGTATATAGAGGCATAGCTGACGTTATACCATTTTCCGCAACTTCTTTAATCGCTAAGACGTACTTTAGCTAGCGTCGACCGAGCTAGCGGCGGGTAGCGGGAGTTTTATACATACGGCTATCGCTATACTTATACGTCTAGCTATAGCTCTATTTACTCGATACCCTCTCGAACGACGCGATAGCAGGCAGCTAAGATGTATTAGCATAACTATAGACATATCTACGCCTATAACTCTGCTTACCTAGCGGACGGCTATTGCCGGGGCGCTAGCCCCTTTACCGAACGAACAGAAGGAGCGCTATATATTTGGCTAATGTCTCGCGTATATCCACGCATAAATAATGCTCTAGATCTGCGTATCTTTGCTATTTCTTTAATATACAAAGTATATAGTTTAAGTTGTATTCCTATATAGTAGAATACCCTATACTATTTTTTATTAATTCCTATTTATATATATTAATAATACTCTATACTATTATAATTTGCGTTGTTACTATCTCTCTCTCTCTCTAAATTTTCTCGTTATATATATATTAATAGAAATATAATCTCTACTACTATTATTCTAGTTACTGCCCCTCTCCTAGCATACAAATGTCTTTAGGTATGCGCAAAGGCAACACTATAGCTATGCATCCGTTCCTCCGTTTTAGTAATAAAGGCTTAGTATTATTTAATATTAGTATAAGACTATTACGCTAGTGTAATATAAAGTAAATAGTTTAACTTGTTTACCTATATAGTAGAAGACCCTATATATATATAGCTAAAAAGATCTTTTTATTTTTTTTTAGATTTATACTTATTAATAATACTCTATACTATTACAATTTGCGTTGTTACTATATCTCTCTCCCTCTAAATTTTCTCGTTATATATATTAATAGAAATATAATCTCTACTACTATTATTCTAGTTACTACCCCTCTCTTAGCATATAGATGCCTTCGGGTATGCGCAAAGGCAACGCTGTAGCTATACATCCGTTCCTCCGTTTTAGTAATATAATTATTATAGTTAAAGCTTAGTTTTGTCCTACTTTATTATCCCTTTACGCATACCTATGCACTAGCGATTAGGCACTCCCTATTCTATGCGAGACACCACATAGGTATGCACATATCTCCTACTATAGATATGCGCCCCTTCTCCCGTTTTAGTAATAAAGGCTTAGTATTATTTTATATTAGTATAAGATTATTACGCTAGTGTAATATAAAGTAAATAGTTTAACTTGTTTACCTATACAGCAGAAGACCCTATATATATATAGCTAAAAAGATCTTTTTATTTTTCTTTAGATTTATACTTATTAATAATACTCTATACTATTACAATTTACGTTGTTACTATATCTCTCTCCCTCTAAATTTTCTCGTTATATATATTAATAGAAATATAATCTCTACTACTATTATTCTAGTTACTGCCCCTCTCTTAGTATATAGATGCCTTCGGGTATGCGCAAAGGCAACGCTGTAGCTATACATCCGTTCCTCCGTTTTAGTAATATAATTATTATAGTTAAAGCTTAGTTTTGTCCTACTTTATTATCCCTTTACGTATACCTATGCACTAGCGATTAGGCACTCCCTATTCTATGCGAGACACAACATAGGTATGCACATATCTCACGCTATAGATATACGCCCCTTCTTCCGTTTTAGTAATAAAGGCTTAGTATTATTTTATATTAGTATAAGATTATTACGCTAGTGTAATATAAAGTAAATAGTTTAACTTGTTTGCCTATATAGTAGAAGACCCTATATATATATATAGCTAAAAAGATCTTTTTATTTTTTTAGATTTATACTTATTAATAATACTCTATAGCTATTATATTTTATGTTATTACAATATCGCTCTCTCTCTAAATTTTCTCGTTATATATATATTAATAGAGATATTATCTCTAATATAATTATTATAGTTAAAGCTTAGTTTTATCCTACTTTATTATCCCTTTACGTATTATTGTATATAAGACACTACATAGGTATGCACATATCTCACGCTATAGATATGCGTCTGTTCTTCCGTTTTAGTAATAAAGGCTTAGTATTATTTTATATTAGTATAAGATTATTACGCTAGTGTAATATAAAGTAAATAGTTTAACTTGTTTGCCTATATAGTAGAAGACCCTATATATATATAGCTAAAAAGATCTTTTTATTTTTTTAGATCTATACTTATTAATAATACTCTATAGCTATTATATTTTATGTTATTACAATATCGCTCTCTCTCTAAATTTTCTCGTTATATATATATTAATAGAAATATTATCTCTAATATAACTATTATAGTTAAAGCTTAGTTTTATCCTACTTTATTATCCCTTTACGTATTATTCTATATAAGACACTACATAGGTATGCACATATCTTACGCTCTAGATATGCGTCTGTTCTTCCGTTTTAGTAATAAAGGCTTAGTATTATTTTATATTAGTATAAGATTATTACGCTAGTGTAATATAAAGTAAATAGTTTAACTTGTTTGCCTATATAGTAGAAGGCCCTATATATATATAGCTAAAAAGATCTTTTTATTTTTTTAGATCTATACTTATTAATAATACTCTATAGCTATTACATTTTACGTTATTACGATATCGCTCTCTCTCTAAATTTTCTCGTTATATATTAATACAAATATTACTTATCTCTACTACTATTATTCTAGTTACTACCTCTATTCTGTATACGGCTGCGTATAGGTATGCGCATACCTTACGCTTTAGGCATGCGCCTGCATTCCCTTTTAGTAATAAAGGCTTAATATTATTTTAATATTAGGGTAATTTTAGCCTAGTTTATCTACCCTTTGAATATACCTATGCGCTTACGATAAGGCTCTCCCTCGAGTTATGCCTATATATATATGCTCGACTATGTCTATATACGTAATATATGCCAAAAAGATGTTAATACAACCTATATATATAGCTATCTCCGACCCTCTCTTAACTAGCGAGCTATCTCGTCGTATACCCGTAGCTGCGCCCGTAGATACTCCGCCTATAAACTAGCGATCTCTACTAGTATTAGCGGATATATTGAGGTAGGTTATATAACCGGAGGCATTAAGGAAGGCATTATCGCGGCCATTAGTATAGCTATTAGGGGCTGCATTAGCTGTCCTATCGGTAGCTGTATTAGCTGTCCTATCGGTAGCTGCATTAGCTGTCCTATTAGGGGCTATATTGGCTGTCCTATCGGTAGCTGCATTAGCTGTCCTATCGGTAGCTGCATTAGCTATCCTATCGGTAGCTGCATTAGCTGTCCTATCGGTAGCTGCATTAGCTATTCTATCGGTAGCTGCATTAGCTGTCCTATCGGTAGCTGTATTAGCTGTCCTATCGGTAGCTGCATTAGCTGTCCTATTAGTAGCTGTATTAGCGGCATTGTTAGTAGCTATATTAGCTGTCTAATTATCGGCTGGTTATAGCTAGGGACAATTCGGGTTTGATCTTAAAGTTGAATCCCGTCTCGAGACATATCTATAGGCGTACCTATAGGCGTTCTAATGCGGCTAGGTCCTAATATAGCGGTATTAGTAACTAATCTCTAGTTTCCCCTTTCTCTAGGCGTAGGAACGCGTAAAGGTAGAGGCATACTTTCCGTACTCGCTCGCTTTCGTCGCCGGCTAGTAACCTCTAGTTTAGGATCCCGGATAGGGATTATATATAGGCGAATCCCGGGTAGTAGGCTTAGGCGTTGTAACGGTCGTAGGGCGGGCGTAGGGCTTAGACTTCCGGTTAGGCGTTGTAACGGTCGTAGATATAGCGGTAGGCTAGGCTCGATATCCCGTAATTGTAAACGTGTTTCCTATTCTAGGAGGGTCCTCCGGGTAGGAATTGTTCTAACCTAAGCTCTAGCGGCGCGATGCGCATTATTAACCCTAGTAGTACGCTTATCCTTACTATTACTCCTATGCTTATAGAGATTGCTAGAGGCCTACTCTTAGTACGCTAGCCTTATAGCCTTTTCCTGTTTATATCTAGTCTTCTTTACAACTACGGCCATTAGTACGGGCATAAATCTGCTAATAGGTAGCTCTTACCTTGCTTCTATAGTGCCCTCTCGTATCTAGACTAGATAGAGACATTTACTAACGTATACTTTACGCGGTAGTCGGTCTAACCCTAGAACTAATCGACATCGCGCATATCTATAGTCGTAGCTCTAGAAATACCTATTATTAAAGGTAGGTCGGTTCCGAATAAGTATAACTTATATCCCGTCTATTCGTTAGCATTTGTATCCGCCCGTCTGCTTCTATATATATCCTTGTTTATAAGCGTATACTCGGGGTTAAGCGCGGCTGCAATAACATCGTTTTTCTTATTCGTCGCCTAGTTACGGAGATCTTTGTTCTAGGACCCTGCATATATTAGCGAATGTCTATAGCTATATATATAGACGTACGTTAGAGGATGCCGATAATCGTATAGTACTCCTATCTACTCGGAGCGTCGATAAGGGATAGTATATCTTCTCGCTCTTTTGTAGTAACCCTACTACACTATTTGCTTATAACCTTGTCTACGTTCCTAATAAAGTATATACGATAGAGTATAAGTATATACTATAGGTAATACTCCGCTATATAGAGGGGGTCGATTTCGTGTAGGTAGAGACTAAGGCCTATAGGTTAGCATAGGTACGGGCATAGGCTAGGGCATAGATACTAGCATATTAGTACCCGAGCTAATCGACTGCGATATAGTACTACCCGTCCGTATCCCCGTAGATATATGCCTACCTATATCTGCCTATACCTACGATAGCCGCTAAGGTCGTAAATAGGCGCTTCTATACGAGATAATATATCCGATTAGTATTCTTCTCGTTGCAGATAACCCGAGCTAAGGTAAAGACTATCTTGTTAGCAGGTATATAGCTATAGGTTAGCCTATATATACGCTTTCTATTCTAACCTAACTCAACCGTAAAGATAACCTCGTTTATATTAGATCCTGCGATACGTTTATAGGATATATCGACGTCGAATAACTAGAGAGACGTAAAGATCTCTGCTTATTCCCTATAAAAGTATACTACTGTCTATATGCCTATAGGGGAGATATATACGTCTTAGATATATTGCTACTAAATTAGCGTATATTAGCATCTATAGCTATAGATAAGGACGTATAGTCTTCGGGTTGAGTTTCTGCTATTTGTATGCCTATTCTACTACGTTAATATCGCGAAGGTGACTATACTCCGTATGCTTAAGCTTTACTATTATCGCGGTTAAGCGCGAAGTATTGTTTAAAGCAATATAGAGCTTAGCAAGTAATAGTACCCCTTTTTTATTAAGGAACTGCTGCAATATCGGATAGACCTAGAATCGGGCTAAGGACTACGTAAGCGGAAGTCTATAGGTATAGCTATATACATACCCGTTGTTAGGTCCGGCGAAATACACTTCTTAATTAATTCCTTTAGCTCTTCCTCGATAAGAGTAGGGACTTTCGTCGGAGGGGGTAGTATATACGTATATTTGCCCCGAGATACGATTATTATATAGGGCGTCCTTATAGGATCGCGCGGGACGATAAAATCGAACTTAACCTTATACTCTTACGTAACGAGCTTACCCTGCCCTTATAGGTAATCGACTTCTACGCGGTGTTAGCTAATCTATGCCTATAGGTCTAGACGTACCTACGGCATATCGTATAAACTACCTTTATCGGCTTAATAACCGTACAAACGTTAGTCGGACCTGCTAGTAGATTTTAGAAGAAGTCCTTAAGTATATCGATTAACTATTTCCCTTCTTTTAGAATAACTTAGCGGAAGCATAATAGTCGTAGGTATATATAGTAGTTAGTACATACGAGTAAGTACTAGTAATAACTAGCTAGCGTCTATACAGTTAGCTATAGATATGCCTATATATATAACTAATTACTTATAGGCGTCTCTGCCTCCTCGTACGTTAAACTACAATCTTCGCGTTAATCGTCGTAGGCTTTTCTCGACCGGAATCTTGCTTATGCTATATACTAAAGCCTATGCCCGTAGGTTAGTACTCGGTAAACTATCTAACTACGGATATATATACGTATGTGAGTTCTCTACCCGGTATTGCGTCTCTTCTCCTCTTAGTACGAATATCCTTACGAGCGGAGGTATAGAATTAACCCTCTAGTTTAGGTACTCGTCCGTAAGGCGATAGTGCGTAGCGCCCTCCCGGAGATATAAGTAAGTATATTGACATATCTTAATACCGCTATAATTCTTCCGTACCCGAATATAGGATACGCTATTAAAGTACGACGCTTTAGTTTCCTTCGAGGAATAGGGCTACCTTACCCTATATTGCATCTAATATATATTAGCATATATATAACAATATATACGCCTATATATACTCTATATTTAAGAACGGCCGGAATCTTTATAACGTTCTCTAGGATAAGATCGGTATAGTTATAGTAATCCGTAAGTAGAACGATATATATATAGCTATAGTTATAACTACTTAGGTATTCTAGTATCGTAGTAATATATTCGATATACTTAATAGAAAGCGGGGCATATATAGCATTTGTAATAAGGGTAGGCCCGGGTCGAGGAAGTAGCTAAGTCTTATTAGAAAGTATAGGCATACTATTAGCTATAGCTAAGCCTATAATGTTGCTTTCTAGCTGCTTATCTTCTATAGCCTCTAAGGCGATGCGATCTTCTTCCGCAAGCATTCCTAATATAAAGACATTAGAGGCCTATATCTCGGTAAGCTAAAGGATATGTATATCTATATACTTATATATACGCGCTCGTTAATAGACTCGGTATACGAGATAAGCTTATTAGAATATTTATATTTATAATCTTCCTATATATAGGGAAGAAAGGTTAATAGAGTCTCTATAGCTTTGGTCGGTGCTTTAGATAGTAGTTTTGTTCGGTGCTCGTAATCTATATAGTCTAAGAAGCGGGCATTCGTATAGTAGAAGGAAAGGGAAGGGAAAGAATTAGTCGATTAGTAGGAAAGTAGATACGTAGGCGCTAATTTACGGCTAACTATATATACGGTTACGTACAGACTCGGCTATACGGACGTTGGTTAACTCCGCTTTTAGCGTAGTCAACCGCAGATTTCTCTGGCAACATTGCGAGAGGATGTGAGAAGGTTGCGCTAGCGCTAACTTAGAACTAGCGGCTGCCGTCCGGACGGCCAAGCATTGACATTATTGATGACAGCATTACGAGGCAGCGCAGCGCCGACGACGTTGAAACTTGACACCACGAAAGAATAATGCAGTGCAGTATGCACCTGTACACCACCCTAACACCGGCACCGGCACCTTCAAGCCGCCCGCCCGCCCGCTGCCCGTCGGCACTCGATCTTCGCGCCAGGCACGACGCCGCCACCTCCCCATCACCATCGCTCCCCGCCCTATCACCGCCCCTCCTCGTGCCTCCCGCCTGCGACTTGGATGGTCGCTCCACGCCTCAGGCTATTCTATCTCTGCAGGCCTGGCAAGCGCTAGTACGATAGGACACCGCCTCCGCCTCTGCCGCGCACACTCGGCAGTCTTGATTTTTCGCTCAATGCCATCATCATCATTCTGCCAAATAATGCCAACACAGACACCATCGCGTTGCACAATCCTTGCAGCAGGCGCAAGCCGAACCACCACCAATCGTTCAGGAACGTGTTCATGCGCAGTGCTGCGAATTGCGCGGTAGCTTGGAGACTGTCGCGCGCATGCATCATGCCCGCCCAACAAGTCGGGAGGCAGGGTATCGCAAGGACACGCTGCAGCTCATCAGCATATACCGCTCTCGCCCACCCGTCTACAGTATCCTCGTGATCGTCGTTGTGCAGTGTGAATGGACCTGTGTCCGTGGTGCCAAATCAAATACCGCATGCGTAATAGGCACGTGCGCACGGCGTCGGTGAGTGAGTGAAGGTCCGGCCGACACCTCCTCCGCGCGACGCGTTCTTTGTTTTGATCGCTGCTTTCCGTGTCGCTGCCCTAGGTTTAGTAATCGTTTGTTGTTACTAATTTTGTTAGCACTTATCGATCTCGTTACCCTACTACTCGATATGTCTACCTCTTTATTAAATCCGTTACCGCCGCCGGCGGAGGATACGCTAGCGGAAGCCGCCTAGGGCGATTTCGCGCTCGAGAGCGACGACGATACCGCGGACGCGTCGGAAGAGGACGAAATCGACGAATCTAGTAAGGAATCTAGTAATTCTTCCTCCGAAGAAGGTCCTCGGCGTAATACGAAATCCTATATCCTTAAACTACTCGAGAACTCGACATTCGCCGCTCTTCCTACCGTCGATAACCTTAAATACTAGCGCTAGCGATATATACTTAGTAACGCGCGCAACTCGTTTACTTTATCGGTAAAGGAATAGTATCTATTAAAGCTATATATCGATAACATTTAGGTAGTAGATAAAGCGTTATATATCGAGCGTAATAGTACGGAAACTACGCGTTACGCGTATCGCTTTCGAAAGAAGGAAGATTAGAAGGCAAATAAGTCGACGAGCTAGTATATAAAGAAGATAGAGCGGAAGATAGAGCCGGCGCGTACGTGTCCTATAACTATAAAGGTTGTTAGTATCTATAGCGAGAATAAGAAGATAAAGGAGGTTAAGATTATCGGATACCGCATTTAGCGCGTTAGTCGTAAAGAATACTATACTAACTATACGCTAGACAATTTTAATAACTTCCGTTAGTATAGCGCGCTTCTAACTACCGTAGGGTATAAGATATACTATAGATATCGACCGGCTTCGGTATACCGCGCCTTAAAGGTATAATACGACCTAGTCGCTTATAAGAGGTTTAAAGCCGCTAGCGGGTTGTTTTTACGCAAATACGACGTGCTAAACTCTAGCTGCTCTTTCCGGAAAGTATATAAGTCTAGCAAACTCGGCGGCGCGTCGCTAGCGTAGGAAACATAACGAGATAATATAATAAAGTAGTACAAATAAGGTATATTAATGTTTATATTCCTATCTAGATTAGTAAAGTAAGGTTAGAATTAGCAGTACGGGAGCGACGGTCCGCGTATCCGGACTCCGATTAACTAATAGATCGATACGGAATATTACTTATCTCGACCTCGAAACCGAGGAAGATATTAGGCTCGATGTCCTCCGAATAGAGGACTAAAAAGCTAAAATCTTATAAATCTTCGAAATTCTCGAAGTTCTCGCTTAAGGCGGTAGCGCCGTAGAGCCTTAGCTTCGAGCTAATCAAACATTTTAGATGCTATAGTAACACTTCGGCTTAGCTTTAGCGAGCCTTAGTAACCCGAATCCGGATTTCCTAGATTCCGTAGGATTCCTTTGTTTTAATTCTTAGTTTTCTATTATAACAATTACTAATTTATTACTTTAGAAGGTTACAAATGCGAGATAGTATTAGTTAAAAGGCATTGCGACGATTAATTAATATACGGCATTATTTACGCGTTTAAAAGTAGCCTAGACCTACTCCGGAAGTATTAAGTAATCGCTTTTATAGACGCGACGCATAAGACTAATTATCTTAGTTAGTACCTCTATACTATTATAATTAAGGACAAATATAGCATGTCGCGTATAGTCGCTTATATACTATTACCTATAGACGACGGCGATATTATCGCTACGTTTCTACGTACAATATACTACTAGAGTAGGTAGATACTAATCTATATCCTAACCGACGACTCGGTAGCTAAGCGACGCGCTATTCGACTAGCGTTTCCTTCTACTAAACACCTCCTTTGCTACGTATACGTTTAGCGTACTATCGACCGTCGCTTCGGTAGTAAAGACTATATAAAGACGCGCTAATACCTTAAAGCCGCTATAATCTATCGTAGGTCGCTCGAAGGCGCGAAAGAGTCGCTCTAAGCCGCTATTAACGACCTGCCTCGTAACGGCGATTATAGTAAGAATAGGCTCTATTTAGAGGTCGACTTTAGTAAGGACATTGCTCTATAGGCAAACTACTATTGCGTCGTCGATATACCGCCGATAGTTAAGTAGAATAAGACAACTAATATAAACGAGAGCTTCTACGGTTATATTAAATTAGACTATAAGTCGCTAATAGTAGTAGACTTTACGCTTCTCGGCGTTATAATATACGTCTTCTAAGAAGTTACTAATAAGGACCTACGCTCTTACCTCGTCGAGCGCTAGTAGGTAGTAAATATATACTCTCTCGCTCGTAGCGACGACGATAAGCTAAGAATATACCTTCTATAGCTTCCGTAGCCTATATAGCGTAAAATTAGCGCTAAGATTATCGAAGCGAGCGATACTACGGTATTCTATAACCTAGTCGCCCTCGCAAATTGCGACGAGGCTAGTTAGCTAACGTATAACTACAAATTCTTCTACTAATATTATATACTTTGCGCCTGCCTCTAGTACTATTATATTACTCTTTATCGCGTCGTTATTAAATAACGTTACTAGTAGTACTAGATCGATATGTTTAATAGTCGCGTACTCGAGGTTTATAAGATATACGAGGCGCGCGCTCTACGTTAGAAGGACGACTCGGCGCCGGCAATAGCGCCTAATTATAGTTACTAGCTCGAGATAAGAGAGACAATAACTAACTATTATAAGATAATCTTCTAACTCGAGCGATAATGCGACAAATAAGGCCTCGAAGACGACGATCTAGCGAGAGCTTCTTATATTGCTAACGCCGTCCGCATCTTCTATAAGGCCGGCAACGATATAAGGCGCTAATTTACTGCTTTATAGATACGCGCGTTTAATTAATAACGACCTAATCGACAAGTTATCCCTTCGTAGAAGCCTAAACTATTATAATAAGCGCTTAAACAAGGCGTATTATCGCGTTATTTTAATACTTCGAGTAAGGCGCCGTAGGACGCGATAAAGAAGTATAAGAGGTCGCAGAAAGAGCCGGAGAAGGAACATATACTAAAACGAATACTACTAGCGCTAGTAGCACTAAACGCTTACTTAAATACGCGTGTATTTAGTCCTAAGCCGCGGCTAGAGGTTCTAGTAAGTATAGGCGCGTTCTCTATGCTATTGCCTATACCGCCGGCTTTATATACCGCTATAGAGGTAACTTATAGCTAGCATATGCTAATAGCGACTCCGCCGGCATTCTATACTATATTATCGCACTTAAATAAGTAGCAAAATAGTCTTCTAAGTGCGATATAGGTCTTAGGCGGCATGCCTTATATATTGCCGCCCTCTAATATATATTAGCGTTATTAAATTAGCAAGAACTGCTAACAATACCTCGAATTTGGCTATATTACTAATCTCTTAACAAACTTTAGCTTTATTTTTAATATTATACCTAATACCTATTAAACAAGCATGCGGAGCTATTAAAACAGTGTTAATTCTACTTAATTTATTATTAAACTAATGCCGTACGAGCTCGTACGACCGGACGACTTAATACTAGCGGAAATCGCTAAAAAGTCGTATAAACCTACCTATATACTATCGACCTAGTAACGACAACGCGTAGCGATAGCGAGGTTACGCTTTCTAAACAAATACAGTAGACGGACGGACATTGAGATCTTACCGAGTCCGTTGCGGCAGGCTGACGGTATGTGGGTCCATTCTTATGTGCACCGTGCATGCGGTATTTGATTTGGGTCCGTGTCCGTGTCCGTGTCCGCCCGGGAAGACTAGGCTCGCACCTTTGCGGGCCGGAGCCGCTGTTATGGCATCGGCGACATTTCTCTACAACCTTCAAAACACACATCTACAGCCGCACATGAAAATGGTATGAACACTGCCCGCCAAGCCACCGACAATACCGTACATCGGTCTCGCCTGATCGCCATGCCACCGTCGTTGCCGGCGCCCACAGTCACAATGCACTCATCCCTGCTGTTCCTGATCACTGCTCGAATGCCATGGCTATTTCTTCGCAGAGCGCATTCGAAGACACTATCGCCTTCATCTGTGCTCCCCCAGGCCCTCACTGTCGATGCGACCAGGACAAAGATTGGACTTCAACAATGCTCTTGTTCTGTTCACTTACGCCTAGACAAAGGCTCTCCCTTTGGTCTTTCGCACAATGCTTCGTCAGCTTCAATGCGATTGTCTCAAGTGCGCTACCTAGTGCACTTCTTACTCTTATAGGTATAGGAGCAAGACCTTTGCTCTCGTTTCTCCCCTTGCTGTATCGCATCCCGTGCAGAGTTCAAATTGTGCTTACCTCAGTCAACCACTGTCCTGGAGACATTCAACCGCTGACAGAAACAAGCCACCAATTTCGGAACTTTGCACTCTCTTCGATCACCACTGTCCTGGAGCCGGTCAAGCGCTGAGACAGATGCAAGGCATCAATTTCGGACTTTGCATTTCCTTCGATCACAATCTCTGCTGCCGGTCAGCATTGCGAACTGACGACATGCAGAACCAACCCCAATCAACAATGCCTACAGGCACTCCCCAGCCTTTCAACTTTGGACACCCAACATCCGAGGGGCAGCCTAGCTCTCAGCAATTCTTTCCATTCTTTCAGCTGGACGGTATGCAACCGGACAGGTACAGGTTCCAAGAGAAGCTCTTCAACCTGCCGCTTGGAGACCTAGGGAACGTTCAGCCTCTGACCTCTCTTTTGAATTCCCTGTGGCACAGCGGGAAGCTCCCACCGCTCGCGCTGAACTTCATGACACGCCTCATACATCTGGCACTCCCATTCTGGCATGCTCTCTTAGTAAGTACACCCGTCGTCTATCCATCAGAAGCATGTCCAGCTCCCAAGGAAACACTAACAGATGCAGAGAAATGGGACACCATTGCCAAATTGGAAGAGCTCGCGCAGGCACTCACCATCACCTTCGGCGAAATAGGCGAAGGCGTCAGTGGTGAGACGAGAGCATCATTACGCACACTTGCCACAATGCCCGGTCGCGGAGCAGACATCATCATCAGCCAGGAATATCTCAACGAAATCAATGCGACAACAGAAGCAGAAGACGTGATCAACTTCCAAATTCTCTGTTTTCGCGTCGCGACCACCGTCGTCCACGAACTTGCCCACGCCGCAGCACTAGCCAATTCCGGCATGCCTCAACCATTCCCCAACACCTTCATCGGTGACTCCCAATCCAACGAGATCGGCTTCGAAATCGAGAAGTACCTCTTTGGCGGCGTTCTCGACCTCGAAACCTTCTTCGGACCGGAATACGGCGACATCCCATACTACGCTCACAACAACATTACCTCGCGAGTCAACTACCGTCTCATCCTCCTGGATTGGCCCGACAAGGACGTCATCGACATGTACCGCGAATCTGGCGCCTCCTGCGCATGTCACGCGAAGTTACCCCCCGCTCGAATCTCCTGGACCACCTCCTTCCTCCACATCTCCTGCGTCTTTCAAAACTCCTACTGGCAAGACATCGTCCCCCAATTCGGCCGAGCAGCCCTGCACTTCCCTCGCCATTTCGGATCTCTCAGAGCTGACGATCTCACCTGGAATCCTTGGGACTTACTCCAAGCCCTCATGCCCGGTAATCTTTACGTCATAGACCAAAATATGTTGGTTTACTTCGTTCAGAAGGTTGATGATCCGAGTGCCCAGAAGGTACGGGAGTTTTGGGATCAGCGAATGCCGAAGAATTCCAAACTTCACGAATGGTTGGCGCTGACTCAACAGGATTTTGGCCTGAGTCCGGATTTGAAAGCTGCCATGGAGAGGGTGCTTGCTGTCATGGACTTTGATCGCACGATTGGCGTGCTGCCGATTGCTGCGAGGCAATAGGGGCTTGCTTTCAGCGGTTAGGTAAGTCAGTGCAGGTAAGTAAGTCATCAAACTCCAATCCCTCGTGTTCCCTATGCTTCCTCAAATATCTGTCTTCTTGAATACAAAACCTCCTGCTTTCCAACCCTCCACTCTTCTCCCCGTCAATTTTCCACTATATAAAATTGCTTCCTACCGTACCCTCAACCTTACCCACAAATTCCCGTCCGTGCCCTCACACAGCATTGTTCTCTTGGATTTTTTTCACGCGGAATTCGCAGCCAGGACATGACGCACTCCAGATAATCCCTATTGCTCGCAATACTGATACAAAGTTCGGGGTCATCGTCCGCAGACGGGGTGGTGTAAAGAGCAGAAGAAATACTCCGTGGATTCCAAGACAAATGACCCCCGAATGTACCGAAAGCAGTGATCAAGATCGAACAAGGGACATAGATCTCCTTAAACAGCTATCTAAGCAAAACATATTGAGAAGGTGTCGTAGTTCCCCTCTCGGCAATGCCAAGCATTGCTTACATAAGAGGTGGCATCCATGTATGTCCTCCTCCTTGCGCTCCTACTTCAAATTGCCTTCCAGGGAGCCTGCTGTACAATGAGATTTCCGCTACGCGCGAGGAACTCCGAACCACCGTCTTCCAAAGATTTGGAAGATTCGGACCAAGCTTCGCAGTGGAATAGTACCAAGCCGTTGGCACATGCCGCGTCGCTTAGCCGGGAATGCAAAGACGGTGAAATGCATTGGCCTTGCTTCACTCACAGCTAACGACAAGGATCGCGAGGAGAGGGATGAGATGAGATCGATTCTGTTTCTAGGCCCTACCCAACACGCTGGCTCCTAATGGGTCTGGCAATATCCCTTACCGAATCACTTGGTCGGCCTACCACACTTATTATTCCAGCGCAGATGGATCTCTATGATGTTTGCAACAGCTTGAGTTGTCACTGTGATTGCTCACAGAAGCTGTGGCGTTGGTCAGTGGAGATAATGAGATTCATTGACTGTGCTCACGCTGAACGGCCAAGGCATCTTCTCGTCCGAATGTGACACCCAACAGGCACTCACGGTCAGCCAGTCTAGGTCGGGCTTGAACGGTCTTAGTCGGGCCTCGAACGGTAAGTAAGACAAATATAACAGTGGTGCTCTGAAGCAGTTGGTCAACACTTGACGATGTGTCACAGATTCAGCTTCCAATGCAAGTTACCTTACGTCAAGAAAAGCACTTGATAACACTGTTTCCACATCGTCTCCGCTGAGCTCAACAGTGACACTAGTGCAAGCAGCCATCTAGTTCAATCTCCTGGTACATCCCCCAACTTGACAATTTATGCGACCGACCACTAGCCAAGGATCTTCCAGCATTACCAAAAACCTCACTAGCCGTCTCATTATCAAGTTTAGGACCGACCACCTTCGACTTCGGGACTGAGACTGTCCAGTCGTCCTCCCTAGGTTCTACGAGTACTCAGGCATCCATTTCCAACGAGCTTGTGCTTTTATGTCCTCCAATCGAGTATCCATCGGCTGCTAACAACTCAAAAACATGCACTTCGGCATACGGCACTTCCTTCAATGTCACTTGCGGAATCAAACTACTGAGCTCCGTTCTTCGCCGGACTATTACATCTAGTCTCAATCCGGGATTGATCGTGGCCACCAACATTTTCGGCAACCGCATTGCCGTTGTCATCAGCTTTGAGTTCTCCTGTATCTTCAACTAGCGCAACTAGCTCGCTGGTATCCCTTCCGGCTGTCTCGACCTCTTCCACCATCGATGCAAGGTAGGTGAAATACGCCAAGATATTGAGGTTCACTGGGCGTTCGATCTGGCCACGAATTCGTATACTAATCTAGGGGAACAGTTCTTCAAGCTCTTCGCTTGTTCTCTCTCCGCCACTTACGACATCGATCAGCTCGACATCCTCAACACCGACCAGCACGTTTCTTTTGACATCATCCAGTGCATTCTCTCCAACATCAAACAGCGCTTCGTCCAGCCACACCAGCAGCAGCATTTCCATATCTAGTGGTTCTTCGACCGCTACACCAAGCACATCCAGTTCTTCGATAACATTAGTCAGCAGCAGTGGCTCATCGGATGCATCCATTTCTTTGACAGAAGCATCAAGCAGTGACAGTGCAGCATTAAGCTCTTTGTCAACTTCAAGCCATGTCTGGTCGAGTATTTCCAATCACTCAACAGAATCGAGCAGCAGCAGTGCGGCATCGTGAAGCTCTTCAACAGGCAGTGCGAGTACTAGCAATACTCTACCCATTACGTCCACCTCCTTGATAGGATCGAGCAGTAGCAGTACTGCTTTAATTTCCTCATCAACCTGAACAAAAGTCGCCACAAGCACTACTACACGCACAACTTCAACCACTACTGCATTGTCTACATCGACCTAGTAGTTCGAGCATAGATAGCTCATCTCTAGCACCTGTTAGCAGATTATCGACTACTTTGTCGACGAGCACCGGCAGCTTTTCAACGACCAACTTCTTTCCTACGCCACGAACTAATTCAATAAGCACAACGAGGACAATTGGAAGTGGGTCTACTGCGTCGAGTTCTACTATGAGATCGTCTTGGTACAGACTTCCTCCCTTGCACCAAATATCATGACATTTGCTAACTTGCTCTAATAGTTTATCGACATCTATTTTTGGCGTGAGCTCGCAAGTCACAACGTCGTCTTTGTCCTTGAGGTAGGATACTATTCAAATGCGGTATGATGATAAAAAAGATTGACAAATACAAGCATATTCTCTACTACACCATTCATCGTCTCGATCTCAGCATCGTCATCTTCAACACCGATTGGACCAACGACTTCAAGGTAAGATACGTACGCGCGTACGAGCAATCAACTGCACCACTGACCCGCTTCATAGCTCATTATCAGGCTCCGTCAGCTGCTTCATGCCTTCTCCAACGAGCACGGAAGTAATTACATCGAGTTCAAAGTGGGTACAGTGGTGTCTGAAACTGTATGTCGTAGGCTAATGTACATTGGTAAAGTTGCGCCACCAGCTCTTTGACTACGTCAACTTCACGCAGTTCAAGCTTCATCATCAGCTCAAGCTGCACTAGCAGCTCCTCGACTTCACCAAGTCAATCCAGCTCCTCTACCTCTTCGATCCAATTGTCCTCGTCCACATCGTCTCCGCTAACGTCGTCTTTCGCAAGAAGAAGGTACGTCACTCTTTCATCTAGGATGTTGGAACGCGAACGCGCTGTCTGCATTCCACTAATCACCCTAGTAATGCATTTAATGACATTCAAAAGTCACAGGTCCACCTCAAGATCAACCAAAACAAGCTTCGCATCGACCGCAGTACCTTCGTCACTCACATCAAGCTCTGCAACCAGCTCCATTCCCAGCGCAACCTCAATCCACACATTGAACAAAGCAGCCCAAACAAATTTGGCAGTCTACTGGGGTTCAAGTCCAGCCACAACAAACGGCGGTCTCCTCACACTATGCCGGAATCCCAACGTGAATATAATCATGATCGCCTTCCTCGGGGCATATTTCGGACCCAACGGTTACCCAACCCTCAAAATCGGCGGTCACTCCTGTCGTGCAGCAACAACAGCACAAAAAGCCACAGCCCCCGGCCTAGTAAACTGCGTAGCAATGGCACCCATGATAACCGAATGCCAGCGCATCGGCAAACCCATTCTCCTCAGCATGGGCGGCCCCTCGAGCACATCAAACTTCACCTCCGCCACCCAAGCCACAGAATTTGCATCAACCCTCTGGTCCCTCTTCGGAGCAGATCTCACCAACACAACCACCCTCCCCATCCGTCCCTTCGGCCCCGATGTCATTCTCGACGGTTTCGACATAGATTCCGAAAACGAAATGCCCGACCACTACGCAACCTTCGCCTCAGCCCTCCGAGAGAAATTCTCTGAAAATCCCACCCCCTCCACAAAACAATTCTACCTCTCCGGTTCCCCCCACTGTCCCCTCCCCGACAAAAGCCTTCCGTTAGACGCCATGTTGCAATTCGACTGGGTATGGCCCAGATTCTACAATGCCATGCAATGCAACTTAAACAGCGAAGCTTTTTTAGATTCGCTCTCCGCGTGGTCGAAGCAGCTGGGCACAAACGGACCACGTCTCTTCCCCGGCATCGCCGTGTCAAACTTGAGTGCTAGTGGGAATGTGCCTGGCTCGGAGCTGGAGGGTTATATTGCGAAAATCAATCTTACGGATGTCGGGAATTTTGGGGGGTTGATGCTTTGGGATGGGAGTTTTGCTTTGGCGCGGGATGAGGAGGGGGAGGATTTTTTGGGGTATGCGAAGAGGGCGCTTGTCAATTTGGTGAGTGGTTGGAGTGAGGGTTTGGGGATTTTTTGAATGAGAAGGGGGGAAGATTGGTTTGTCTTGATCTACTGGGAAATGAGATTGCTTGTAGCGGATCAGGTAGCTAGTCTGTCGATACTAGTAATATATCAATTTACCCCTAGAATACAAACCCACATCTAGATCCCTGTGCGTATCATCACGCCAGCACCAAGATCACGACAACAAGCCCATGATCGAGACGGTGTAAGAAGCGAATGGTCCAGCATCCACGTCGATGGCTAGAGAAGCACAGTATTTGTGTTTCACGACTGCTCATCCACGTTCCCACAAGCTTCGGAGAGACGACTTCCTTATCTGAGTAGGCCGATGATCAAATCATCACGGTACTAGCGCATTGTGAAGAGTAAAACGCAGCCCTCGCTCTTTGGCTGGCAACGTTCACAACCGCGCGCCCGCGGTCACATACTAAGCTCGCCCTATTCGCTTATATCTTATAATACTAAGTCGCTACACCGTCACATGCTGATTCGGTTTACCACGGAAGCTCATCTCGTGGCCCTTGCCCTCTTCATTCTCGTCCAGCAGCGCATCCCCCTTGGCTGTCTCCTCGAAGCGCTGCTTCTGATCCTCGTTGATGAATCCGGGTGCGTTGTGGTCGGGAATGTTAGCCGGGTACTTGCCACCTCCCACGCGCATAGCAAATAGCATTGCCGACAGCGCGGCCTCCTTGATGCAGATGTAGCTGTAGCGAGTCTCCGGGTCTGAGGCCTTGCAGTCTCGCACTCCCTTGGTCTCGCACACCTACGGACGTTTGTCTGCATGGTTCGAAAGTTTGCAGGTCCAGAGACAGGCGGCTTGGCTGAGCAAGCGCAGGCTTGTAGAGGAATCATTGAGCTGGATAGTAGAATAGAGAGATCGACTTGCGATGAACATATCCTGTAAGCAAGGCCGCATGTCGTATCTTGTGGATCCGCGTCCTGGGGGTTTCGATGTGTATGTGCGCTTGAGCGAAGCCAATGGGGAACGATGCAGACGACTACATAATGTCTTGGCTGCCTCTTGATGACCATTCGGACGTACTCGTGCGGAGGTAGTGTTGTGTTTGTTGTTGTGGGTGCAATGAATTGGATCCTTGACGGAGGCGCCTCTAATATTTGATTGGAATTCCTCGAAATTGAAGGGGCCGCGTTGATGATGTAAGTGTAACATCGTGCCTGCATCAGGCGAATGTTGTATGTTGACCACGTAGAATGTCAATTTTGATCATCTCGACCTCTTGCATCTCCTCTTAACCATTCACCCCAGTCGCTATCACATGAAAGCCAACGTGGTCTAATCCCAAGGTCATGGTTAGAACTAAACGATAACCACCGGAGCCATGTCCGGAGCGAGCTACATCTCCAAACTTCGGTCTCAAGTGTTGATCCTGCATCAGTACGGTCCTCTCCGTTGATATATTACAATGCCACAATTGAGCATGGCTCACATCAAAACTGCAGAACCACGCCAAAATGATCAATTCCTCACCGGCCGAGTACGCGTTCATTCGCGTGTGTATCTTTGGCCTACAAGCGATCACGCCTCTCAGCATTGGCTACACGGCCTACTATACCCTACGATGGGTGAAGCGGCGAAGTGACTGGCCAGCTCTGCCTCTGGCTCTCACAGCATGGTGTGCCGCCGAGACACTCTTCTACTTCGCAGTGCAGCTACCTCTGCAATACCAGATTCAGAAGGAAGCCATCCATCCACCCCTACTATCGAAGACGAAACGAATTCAGCTTTTCGAAAGAGTCATAAAAGATGTCAGTCCTGCCGACCTAGAGCGTCATATTCGGTGGTGGTTCAGAGGTTCGCCGTTGTCAAGCATTGGCCGTGAAGGGCTCAAAGACTGGCTGGCCTGGGCATTCTTTGAGGGTCGCATAGACAAAGACGGTGCAGGAGATGAACTGGAACGTTATACCAGTCATTTTGAACACATATTGGACACGACTTTCGCAGCCGGCCACGGGACTGCGGTACCGATAAGATTGACTCTGGACAAGGTCGACTCTAGCACCAGGAGCTTGGCATGGTACCTCTGTGTTGGCTTTGTAGATTTCTTGGTGTACAATCGTCTATGCTGGAATGGCTTTCGGCATTATCGACAGCCATTCGGACGCTTCTTTGGCCTATTTCCGCTGCGACCGATTGCTCTCACCGCGAAGCAAGTTTCTCCGGTCAAGCACTTGACCTATTGGCATCGTCCACACACTGCAAAGGATAGGCTACCTGTGCTCTTCATCCATGGTATCGGAATCGGTCTCTACCCGTATGTTGACTTCCTCAAGGACCTGCTACAACATGTCGACAACGACAACGGGCAAGCTTCCCACAAGGACCAAGGACAAATCGGCATCCTCGCTCTGGAAATAATGCCAGTCTCTTTTCGCATAACACACTCTGCGCTTTCAAAGCAGGAGATGTGCGATGAGGTCAACAAAGTTCTGGAGTATCACGGCTGGGATAGATGTGTACTCGTCGGCCATAGCTACGGCACAATCATCGCCACCCACATGCTACAGACTGAGCTTCTCCAGCCAAAAATCGCTTCGGTGCTCCTTATTGATCCGGTCTGCTTCCTGCTTCATCACCCGGACGTGGCATACAATTTTACGGTCCGCAAGCCAACCCATGCCAACGAGTGGCAACTCTGGTATTTTGCCTCTCAAGATCCCGGAGTTGCGCACACTCTTGGCCGAAGATTCTTCTGGTCTGAGAATGTCCTCTGGCTTGATGATCTCTCCCCACTGATGCAAAAGTATGGCATGCGGGTCACCGTCAGCCTGGCAGGACGCGATCTGATCGTGAAGACGGATACCGTGGGACGATATCTTGCTGGCGCGAAGCCTCAAAAGGATGGCAAATGGGATGATAATTGGATGGAGAAAGAGTGGACTAGCGAAGGGCTTGAAGTTATCTGGAATGAGGACACGGATCATGCACAGGTCTTTGACTCGGCAAAGAAACGCGCCAAGCTGGTAAGAGTGGTAAGGAAGTATTGCGAGCTGGAGTGAACGGGCGTTGTCCCGAGTCCTTGGAAGCGGTCTTGGCTTCACATGAATGGTCCAAGCACTAGATAAGCAAGCCTGTGACGTAGCTTTGCACCCTCAAAATACGCGACATGCCTACCTGGAAACTTCAGACTTCTCAACCACCTCGACACAGTCACTGCACTACTTTCTACCCGTCAGCAGGTAAATCATCTAGAAGTCGAGGTTTCAGTCGACCATTTACTGATAATATCCAGGCGCCAAATTGGCCTCAGCTGCCGCGCGCACATTCGCCATAGCAGAGCTGGCTGACTATCCAACTCGGCTTCTTACCTATTATTATCGCCTATTATTATAAAGGTTAGGAGGTATATTCCCAGCTTGGCGGAGCGCAGGCTTCAGGAAGAGAATGATCGACTGCGGGACAAGAATGATGCACTGAAGCAGCGGATCGAATTTCTCTCGGCGGAATCGGAGAGATACTGTACACTCTACCGTGACTTGCTGCAAGGTCGCACTTCTCCATGGGGCGCAACCCGCAGGATGAAACAAGAACCAACTACAGAGTTGAAAAGCTACATGCGGCCTACCGAGTCTTCGAAGCGACGCCAGAGCATCAAAGTGTCCACGCTGCCATCAATAGTGGAAAACCTGGGTGTTGCTGACGAGCCGGAGGAAACGCTCGTCTCAGAAAATGATGCCCCTGCGTCATCATTATTACTACCATCAGAACTTGTGCAAACGCCTGAGAAGCAGTTACCATGGTGCAAAGCCTGTAGGAATTTGGCTTGCGACGGCAGCGATGTGGACGGCTCAGGATGCACCAAGATGCCTTGTACGTGCCTCCTCTGTGCCCATTTCAGTATGAAGAGTTGGCAAGGACTATGCAACGACCTTTGCCAACGTACGGCGACGCCCTGTGGCATGCGCTCCGAATGTATTGGCCGAACTTGCAGCAAGAGGAGTTCAGATATGGCCCGTTTCAGGTACGACTCGGTCTTAAAGAGCTGAAGAAGACTACAATCGCTCACAGCCACCGAAAAAATGCAATGAGATGTGCGACATGCCACCTGAGACGGTCAACAAAGCTATATTGCACTTGGTCTACTTGAGGAACGCCCTGGCACATCCCTCGACTTGGGCCCCGGAACGTGCCGATGAGCTCATATGCGTGACGCTCAGCAACTGGCTTGTGTTCTACGCGATGAAGCACGCGCGCACCAGATTCGTCAATTGCGCGACCGACTGATTGACGCTGTTCCGAAGGAGTACACTGAGATTGTCACTCGTGCTCCGCTGTCACTTCTGCCGAACGGTCCGCGCTGGTCGCTACACACACAACGTTTCTTCGAAGGAATTGCGCACTTCATCAATGCCCACGAACGACAATTGGAGTGGAAAAGGTCTTCGCCAGACCGTGCCGTGGTCGTGGTCACCCCTGAGACGCGCTACCATCCAGCTGTGGTCCAAGCCGACATCGATATATATATTTTTTTCTGCTCCTGCAGTGACCAAAATGCAGACTTCGACGAAAGCTTGACTCAAGCAGTCTGTAACCGCAATGGCGGCGGAGTATATCGGGTCGTGACCAAACTTCATATCTGAGCGGTGCTGGGGTTGAGTTATGGTGCAGTGAGTAGTGCAAAGGCGTATCGATGGTAGAAGATTTGATGGTGGGGCTTTCGTGTTTCACGAACCGCAGATGCTGCTCTTGTGAGATGTTTCTTGTGCGAAGGAGTCAAGAAGGACTTTGTTGCCAGGGAAGGGTGGAGAGTGATTCGTAGTGTTGTATGGGAGATCCGACGTGGACTTGAGGGGGCTCATGCTTGCGGCTGGGTTGTTTTGTTATGTCTCCGCCGATACTCTGTCAAATTTGCAGAGTTCGGAGCCAGAAGCTCGTGAATAGAGGGACGAAAATTCGCTCGAGGAAGTCGCGGAATCTAGGACATTGTATAGCCGCGTACAGGACTGAGGCCAGATTCAAAAGCACAGCAAGCCGACGCACGCCTGAAACGAGAGAGCAAACCCTATGCTGTGCCCGTTTGCATCTGCTTAAGGCGGCCAGAACTCGGAGAGAAGTCGATTCAAATGAATTTCCTCAAGGCGCTTCCCCAAACTCCAATCTCCTGACATCTGCCTTGTGAGTCTCCAAAGGCATCACAATCTTCTGCCAATCCTTCGGCGGTGGTTTCTTGCTCGGAATTCTTTCCAACACCCATGGATCATCCTGCGCCGAGCGCGACCTGGAGAGTGACACTACGCTCGACTTTCTCCTCTTGACATTTTTTACATTGCCGTAGATCGAAGGAGCGTTCGCCACGAATGTCGCCACAAGAACTTGGATGGAGGCCCAAAAGCTTCGGGCTTGCTGGACGGAGCCGGTTCTGTAGACGTAATGGATCCGAAGGCCGATGACGATGATGCAGACGAAGCCGAGGATGTAGAGCACGCCGAGTTGTAGGTTCCGAGGGAAAGCTCGTGCCTGGGCCTGGAGGATGGGGAGCGAGATGATGAGCAGAAGAACATCGATGGCGGCATTCGCTATGCATTGGAGTAGGATCTGGGCGAATGCCCGGAGGCACTGTGGCTGTGGTGAGTGTGGCGTCCAGTACTGCTGAATCGGGCGGCATTCGAGGAATGTGGCCAGGATGACGGCGATGTAGGTGAGTGCAATCATGCACCAGCCAAGCCTGATGGCGCGATGGGTCCATGAGATGTGATTTAGGATGCTGTGGTAGAAGATGAGAAGCAGTGCGCTTTGCAGCCAGTAATACGTCGTCACCAAGCCTCTCGCCACCAGAGTCAGTTTGCTGCCAGTTCGAGCGCGGCTCGATCGCATGGCTTCTTGACCTAGCGAGGGACTGTTGATGCTGCCGAATTCCAGGATGAGCGCATTGCAGATGGTCCGGCTGCAGAGGATGACCATCGATGCAATGACCACGTAGGCTGACTTGTCGAAACTCCGGTTCTTGCACCAGTGCGTCGCCAGGCGTAGGCACAGAATGGTCAAGGCCAGAGAGGCACAGATCCAATTCGCCAGGTTCGCGCCATTCTCACCGATGGTCTGCGCAGGAGGCGACATCCTGTCACTCCATGAGTCGACACGAGCCCGCCTTTCACCGGATGTGCTCCAACTATTCTATGCTTCGACCTGCTTCCTGGCTGCGAGGACCCGAATGCCGAAATCTAGAATACCAGACTGCTTGGTTCTGCGCTGTTCGACGTTGTTTCTTGCGTCTTATGCCACCTCGTCAGGTCGTCCTTGGACCGCTCTTTGTCTGGAAGTCATGGCTGCTGTTCATCAGGATAGGAGCTTGCGGGTGGCAGCCTGGCACGTGTCGCTGTGCGAGGGTTCCTCCCGCAGTGGGAGACAAAGGAGCGTAGGCGAGCTGGTATTCTCATCTCGCGAGAGTTTATGACAACAACAACAAAGAGAGTGGTTCTCTTTCTCTTTCAGCCCCAATGCGAGGGACCCTTGGAACTTATTCTAGATCCCCCGCCGCGGTCTAGTATACAGCACATAGAATACACGTCGGCTTCAGGACCAAGACATTACTTAGGTTTGATCGAGGCGCGGTATACACATACTGTATTCTACACGAGCTGGCCCGGCTATGGCGACGACGATGGAGGGTGCCAGCCGACGTTGCGAATTTTTTTGGACATGTTTCCTGTCAAGTGACGTGGTATCGGCAGGGACCGACGATGCGGTACAGTCATTCACTGGGTCGTCGTCGCAGTCGTGGAAGTCTGTGAAAGATGCCGATGTTTGCTATTAGATATCGAGGTTGGTTGTCTCTCTGCCCAAAGAGCAACTTCGCTAAGGTTCTAGAATACTATATCGGTGCGAGAGTCTACCTTTTATCTATGTTAGTGTCTCTAGAATGCTTTCTATTAATATATATATATATTATAGAATAGGAGATCCTAAGGACTATCTTTAATTCCGACCTTCTACTAGCCGAATTAGGAAAGGACTTAGCTCTAGTATAGTTTCGGTAGAGGTACTATCTAGCGTATTACAGGGTAACCCTCCTATTCCTAGTTGTAGATGCCTTAGGCATCAGTTCTTAGCGCTACGACTTTTACGCTTCTCGCGCCCTCTCGTAGATAGACTATCTTTAAGAACTCGTTTTAAACTATTTAGTTACCGCCCTTAACATTTCTCGAAGATCCCTAAATAGGTCGAGATACGACTATTATTAGGCTAATTAATCGTATCCCGATCCTACTCGAACGTAGAAATTTAACGCTTAAAGTCGCGTCGCTATATAAACGATATAGTATAAACGTATATAGTACTTAGATAGACTCTTCTTAGATAGAAGACACCTTCGCATATATTAATAACGGTAAGGATAGTAATATATCCTAGCGGCTATAGGCGAATAATATGCCTCCGCCGCTAGCTCTATAGGATAGTAGTACCTAAACTTAGTCTTAAACGCTCTAATAGTAGTCTAACCTATAAGAGCCTAGCGACGATAAGTCCTTCGACTTTAACGTAGGCCTTAACGATAATTTAGAATAGGAAGGTAGCGTAGACGCTCCTATCGGCGAGCCGAAGCTAGGTTAGTATACCTAGGAAGAGCTAGATAAGATTATAGGAGATAGTTAATATACTAGCTATACTAACCTAGATATCGATAACGCTCGTTTCCTAGAGGACGACTCTCTAACTAAGAAGCTAATAAAGCGTAATCGTATACCGGATATCGAGGGCTTCGATTCCGAAGGTAATCTACTACGTCGTAGCCGGAAGAGCCGATAAGAGAAGGAACAAGGTTCTTAACTCCTATCTCCGTCGTACTCTCCGCGTTTAGTTAAGTTACTAAGGAATAGGTCGAAGCCTCGCGGTACCGCCTTAGGTACTAGCTCTAGTAGAGTTATTCCTAACGTAGAATAAGGTACGAGAGCTCGCCTAGGTACGTACCTCGACCTCTTAGAGTTTATTTTAGGTAACTATACCTAAGCCGGTAAAGAGGTTCCTCGTTACAATCCTAGACACTTCCGCGATATTATAGATACAGACGACCTAGCTTTACGCGTATAAAAGTACCTATTAAAGTAGCTTAACTTGTTAGACAACATTGTCCTCCTCTTCGCTAATTAGCTAATTATTCTATAAGAAGCTATTAACGAGATTAAACAGACAAAGAAAGAATTAGATAGCGCTATTACCCGTAATAGTTACCTTAAGAATGCTAACTGTACTTTCGCCGTTTAAGTTAAAGAACTAACTAAGAAAAACAAGCGCTATAAGCTAGCACTTAAGACTACTTACGACCGTATTACTAGATATCGCAATATCCGAGAGACGGATAAAGCAGACATCGATAAGCTCTAAGACAAGGTTAAAGGTTTAGAAGCTTAACTTACTACTACTAAAGCTAATATAGAAGCTCGCGCTAACGCCGGTTATACGCTAGCTAAGCGTCGTAAGAAGCGTAGGCTATAGATAGATAATAAAGACCTCCTCGCCTAATTCGAACGAGACTTAGACGATAAAGACGTCTACTTTACTACGCGCTAGAACAAGGGCGCTAGCGGTACTAGCCGTACCTAGAAGATTATAACGAAGAGCTCTTATAATACTCTGCTTAAGAAGCGTCTTAAGCGCGCCGAGCGCGACCGCTTAGAGAACGCCTACGGCGCTACTAATAACGATAGTAATAATCCTAGCTCTAACTCTAGTACGTCTACTTCCGAATCCGACGAATACGATCGAGACCGTCGAGGCCGCCGAGACCGTTGTTACGATAGCCGAGACCGTTGTTACGATAGCCGAGACCGTCGTTACGATAGCCGAGACCGCAAGTATAAGCGTAAGGACAAGTTAACTAAGCTGCCGGCTATATATGCAGCTAACGACAAGGCTAAGGATAAGGATATACCCTTCCGCGAGTAGAAGAGTAAGATACTATTCGCGCTTAGAGAGAGTAAGAAATCCGAGCGAAAGAAGATTAGGGCTGTTCTTAACAATACTACTTCTAATGCTTTTAACTACCTCGAGCCGGTAATCTATACCTTCGCTAAGCACTAAGAAGCCCTTTAGTTTATAGAAGAGTATTAAGGCGATTAGTACTAGAAGTATACGAAGCGAGCCGAATTTATAGGACTAAGATAGGGCAAAGACGAAGCCTTCTCTTCCTTCTAGCTACGCTTTATCTATTACTAGCCTTTCCTTAGCTTCGGCAAGGATAACGAAGAAATAATAGATAACCTCCGCGATAAGCTTAACGACAACTTCGAGTATTCTATACGCTTTAAGTTCTTCTCTTCCCTCTTAGAGATACGCGACGAGCTCTATATCTACGATATTAATACTACCCGCTAGAAGCTATAGAAGAAGTCTACTAGTAGCGGCGGTAGTAGTAGTAGTAGGAACAATAAGGAGAAGGATAAGGAGAAGGATAAGGACGATAATAAGCGGTTATCGAAGATACTATACTAGACTAACGAGGATATACGCGATAACTACGACTAGCTAGTTACGGTTAACAGCAAGAAATACGAGTATAAGCCCGTTAATAAGACCCTCTTCGAGTCGAGAGAGACCTGCTTTGCCTACCGCGAAGGAAAGTATAGGCGCACTAAATAAGTATGCCCTCTCTTCCCCTTCCGTAAGAACCGTTATAGCTAAGGTAGGAACAATAATAATACTACTAAGCTAACGAATGCGGCGACTAGCATTAAGAATCTACCTACCTACGAGGATTAGTTAAAAGAGTAAGCTCTAAGTGTAAGCATACTACTTAGAGTAAACCTTAACTAATCCGTATACTTAGAAAAGACCCTCCTACGCTCCCGCTAGTACCTTCGGAGCGAAGCTTATCCCCGAAAGCATAAGCGCTTACGTCTCCTAACGCATTACCTAATATTATCGATTCTTCTTCTATCTACGTTAATGCGAGCCTCCTTCTAAAGGTAGGTAAGCATATCGTCGTAACCGGCCTTACGGATAATAGGCTCGCTAGGATACTTATAGATCCTAGTTACATATCTACCTACTTATACCTACGATAGGCTAAGCTATTATCTACTCGTACCCGACTTCCTCGACTACTCGGCATTAATAACTATAAGCAGACTAGTAGCGGCTAGATCGAATAAGTCTTATATACTAAATTAGATCTTAATAGAATAAAAGAGAACATTAACGCGTAGATTACCGACATTAGTAAGTATAACTTTATTCTCGGCATTAACTAGTAGACTAGGTATAGGCCTAGTAATATCGACTAGGCCGTAGGAGTCGTTACTCTCCGTTCCGGTTATTAATTTAAGTATAAAACGGTAGACTATAGCTCCGCCTTTACGATACCCTCCTTTAGCTACGAGCCTTCTAAACCGACTCCTACCGGGCTATAGATCGAGGTCGCCTCTATAACTATTAGCGAAGCCTATTTCGAAGAGAAGGAGGAGTCTACGTACCTTATATAGGACTTTATAGATATATCTTACGATACAGACGATATACTAGCTGCTATAGCAATACACGCTTATGCTATATTACTAGAAGACATAGATATCTATATAAAGGGCAAGGCACCTATAGACGAACAAATAACTAGGGACCTCCTACCGCTAGAATTCTAAGAGTTCTAGGATGTATTCTAGTAGGACCGTACTAAACGCCTTCCTCTGTACCGTAAAGGCTTAGACTTAGCTATTAACTTCTAAGAGGGTGCTAAGTTGCCCTACTCCCGACTAAGACCGGTTAGTATTAAAGGACGGAAACTAATACTACTACTACTACTACTAGTAGTAATAGTATAGGCTACCGAGGGTAATATAACCTATAGCAATATAGGCAGCTATGTTTAGTATAATAGGATAATAAGACGGTTGCTTAGGCTAATAACTAGAGCCCTGCAATATAGGTATTATAGAAGTGTAATATAAACAATGTGCTATATAAGGTTAGTGCTCTATCTATAATGTAGAAGGAGGCTTCTTATATAGGCTTAAAACTTAGCCTAGATATATAGGGCCGGTTACTAGCTAATATCCCTCCCTTTCTTCGTATCTAACTAGACACGCTTTACATTGCGCGCTTAAAACAAACAAACAGTTATATAG